TTATCATTTCAGATCACGCGACTCATCGATGACAACATCCATACATCGATGACAATTTTGCAAAACTGATGACAATGTTGTGAAGCCGAAGGTTATCTTGGGAAAGTGATGACAGTTTTCTGAGCATGACATGAACATTATCATTCCAGATCACACGACTCATCGGTGACAACATCCACACATCGATGACGATCTTGCAAAACAAATGACAATGTTGTGAAGCCAAAGATTATCTTATGCAAGTGATGACAGTGTTCTCAGCATGACATCCACGTCATCATGCCAGGACGACCCAACCCCCCTTGTTAATCACATTATGACTATCCCTAGGGATCCAATTACCTTCTCAGAAGGCACACCCTCCAAACCCACTCCAAACACCTTCTGAGAAGGTACTTGGATCCCTAGGGTATATAATCGATGACAACTGCAAACGCTCGGAATATTTCAGGGCCAAGACTACTGATTGGGTCATTTTTCCAACACAAAAAACACCCCAAATTGATCCAAAGGTAGCTGTAGATGTCAATCAACCGAACCCTGGTCACCGACCAAACAACCTCGGATGGTCTCTTACCGAGCATCTCTAAGGCTTTAACGTCTTCCTTCACCTCCTCCGCGTGCTCAGGTGCCACAGAGGCTTTGGAGGAACCACGGCTGCTTCCCTCAACAGCCCTTAGTTGAGCAAAGACGGTCGTCCCGTTGGCTCCACATGAAAGAGGCCCATGTTGCCCTTACGAAAGACATTGCCAGGAGGGTTTCTTAGAAGATCGATCAAGAATTCCAATGTTCATTCACTAAGCTATTCACCTGAAAAGACAGGAAGCTTTCACCTGGGTGGACTCTTCTGCAGATTTCCGGATGTCTTCGCCCGTGGCGGCCAAGAACCAAGCGAATGGCAAACGGCGCCAACGGCCCTGCAACATATTATGGATGTGTGTCTTGCAAGAGGGAGAACCTCCCAAAGACCGCCTAGAAGAAGGCAACAAAAACACATGACTACTGTTTGGGTCTCTCTGTTGAAATACCGTTTTGCGACATGTTGCAGCCGCTGGACACGTTTTTTGAGACTTGCTTCTGTGTTCGTCTTCAGGAAAGACTGCGTGACTGTCAGCATTCCACGCACAACATTGGAAATCCAAACACCATGGGATGTAAACAACAAATGGCATCACCAAAACAATCATGTCTTGCAAATTCGCAGAGGTTTTCGGCCCTAAAGTAAGTGTTGTTTCTAGTGAAAAAGGCAGGGGCTCGGTTGTTGACTCTATTGGATTACGAGTCAAACCCTGAAAGTGAAAGAACATGAAAGAACCCTTGCCCTTCATTCTGCACTCGAAAACGCTTCGTTAGCTTATCTTCCTTCCCTGCTCCTGTCTTCCTGAATCATGGGAAGTGGTTCGAGCTCAACCAAGCCAGCTGCATGCGGGCGCAGTTTCCAAAAGGATGCCTGTTTGGACCAAAATCATTCTGTTGGAACTGCGCTTGGATTCTTCCACAAACAAAACTCCACCTGAAGGTGCCATGGATCCCCCCACCTCTACGACAAGGCACAAACCCAAGAGCCCGCGGAGCTTCCGGTACTTGCGCCCAAAGCCACCCAGCGCCCGCAGCAAAATCTCGCCTCAAAACAGCCGTAGAGCGCCGACATGAAAGAGAGTGGCGGGGATTGGTGGGAGAACACAGCAACTAAGAACTTGAAGGTTGTGATTTGAGTTGTTTCTGGGAGTAGAAACATGTCACACAACATTGGGTCTTCAGCGAGGAAAATCGCATTATACCACTCAAAACGCTTGGAGAAGGCACATCAAAACACAACTTCAAAACGCTTCAGATCATTTTGCAGTCGCATTTCGGATCATCTTTTGGAGGCTTCATCCACTATTCCTCTCATCCACTTCACTCCGTCTACTTCACCCAGGTCACCCAGTCACCCCAAGTTCAAGGCACCCATGGGCGCATGGCCCTCCGAGCGGGCAGAAAGCTTGAAGACCGCTTTGGCTCCCTCCTGCAGCACAGAAGTGGCTAGGGAGGCTTTTGTTCTTTTTGAATTGCTAGTTATAGACATGGCCAATACGGTATACACGTGGTATAAACGTAGAATATAGTAAGTTCCCTTTCCAAATCTACAGTGCGGGTGGTCAACATGCTTTCGTGCATGGATCGCCCTCCGTTACATGGAGGGTTCTGCCTTCCCTTTAAGTCAGAACTGTGGCGCTCAGCAAGGCCTCCAACGCCGAAAATTGATAGGTCTTCCTTGGCTTGAATGTCTTTGAGATCATGCGGCTGAGCCTTCCTAAATATGGTGCACAGCCGAAAGCTTGCAAAGCCACACTGGTGCATTTGTCACACTTAAGCCTAGCCTCATAAAAGTAAGGCCTGAGCCACTGCACCTGGATCTGCAAGATGTTCTCTTTTGAAGCCTCTTTGAAGGTGACTTGTTTGGCTGAATCCTGAAGTGTTGCGAAAACCTTGTTGATTCTGCCCATGATAGTGTGATCCTCGGCTTCTGCTGACCCAGTTTCCCTCCTTTTGTGTGGGTGGTTTTTCAAGCGCAGCTCCTTCCTGATCTCTTTCAAGCTTTCCAAAATAGCCATTGGCTTTCAAGCCGAAGAGCACCAACGCATCATCCCACTGCTTAGCACTCTGATGGTCACGAGGTATTTTTTGTTTGCTTTGGTCACAGTCTTGGGGAAAGGCCGTGGCAAGGTGGCAGCATATTGACATTCAAAAATTATCCAGCAGTGAAACACCAAGCCCTTGGTATGATGATACTTAAGACTTGCTTGTACATACCCATTCACACTGATTGATGTGGCCAAAGTTATCAAGTCTATATAGTTTCATAGGTCAGGTTTGTAGGTTTAGAGGTTCATAGGTTATTAAGTGTGCAGGTTCATAACTTTGTAGGCTCGTAGGGTTCTAGCTTCACAGGCTTTAGGTTCATCGTTTTATAGGTTCAGTGGTTTATGGCTTCGTAGCTTTATAGCCTCATAGGGAAAACAGCTTCATTGGTGATTACCAGGTGTGTCGCTTCCCGGGATGTCGAAATCATGGATGTTCATACGATTGTCTGTGCTTCATAGTTTCATGTGTCTACAACTTCATGGGTCTATATGTTCATACGGTGTTCCGGGAACGAGAGCCGTTTATCGGTTCAAAGGTTGATAGCTTCATAGGTTTAAGGCTTGAAGGTTTATAGGTTCAAAGGTTTATAGGTCTAGAAGTTTATAGGTTCAAAGTTTCAAAGGATAATAGGTTCAGCAGTTTGTGGGTTCGAGGAATATATACCTGCATCTTCATTGGGCAAAAGTTTTTGTGCACTTGATTTTGGAGGAGATTTCCGTGTACTCTACAGAAATCTGTGCACTTGAACACAAAATTGTGCATTTCTGTGAGCATGGTCCTGTCTTGAAACACACAAGAAGGCCCTGCTTGTCACTTTCGCCGGAGCCTGCGCTTCCAGCTCAACTTCCGAATCTCCCATTTCGTTTTGATACGGATCCGGTCTAGCACTCTGCGGCTTGCAGTTCTTGAACTCACTCTCTGACATATCCTGCTAACATGTCCCACCACAGGTTCATAAGCTTCGTAACTGTAGGGTAGTGGACTGGGAAAGATGTGTGTTGGGTGGGAAAGACGTGTATAGGACGGGAAAAGACGTGTATTGGACGGGTAAAGACGTGTATTTGACGGGAATTTCCGGGTAGAACAAGTTTGTCACGCGGGACTTTTCTTCAACAAAATGGAGCCCTGCCGGTTTGACAAGCTCCAAATCATTCCAAATCTCTTGAGGGAGCAGCGGACGCCATTCCTTTGGGATGGGCACACCCTTCGACCCGCAAAGGTATCTCAATACTTCTGACAAAGCTGCATCTTCTCATCATTTGTCACCGAATGACAGGCTTCGGAAGTGGAAAAATGCTACCCAATACAGCCCAAAGGGCTACAATCAGAAAACGTGCATTTCAAATGACTTTTGTGTTTTTCCTGAAAGACGTGTAGTGCACAGGAATTTCTGAATGCACAATTATTTTTGATCATTTGAGGTTGCAGGTATATAGATTCATAGGTTTATATGCTCATAGGTTTCTAGGCTCATAGGCTTATAGGTTCATAGCTTTTATATGTTCACAAGTTTTGAGGTTCCCGACTCGTCGGTTTTCAGGTTTAACGGCCTTTCGAAACGGTAAAAATGGGGTGTTTCAGGCCCTCCAACATCGTGGTCCTTTTTTTGCGGCTCCCCGACGGTGGAACTGTTCGGTGCGGAACATCTCACCCGGTCCGACTCCCTCGGAGGCGACTGTTCGTGCCGCGGTCTTCAGGACCGACTTCACTGCCGCTTACGCATCGACTTTTGGGCAAGCGACCATCTACTGGTGGTGTGTCCTTTTTGAAGGACCGGTCATACAGTCATGCATTGATTGTTTCTTTGGGGGAACATATCGCAGCCCATGGGGCTGAACCAAATAAACTCTTCAGCTAACCTCTGCAAACATGGAGCCATTTGATGCAAATCCCAGCTGTTGTGGCGGTCTCGCGGTGATGGGTGTTCAAGGGATACATTGGAAATACTAGCGTGTGATCCTTTGTTCTATAGCTTCAATGCCATCTTGAAATCAATGAGACAAAAAAGTCTTCACTTGGAAAATCCTCACGGTTCCTTCTCTCAGGGCTCGCTCCCTTGCGTCCAACTATAACTCCCGCTCGCGGGTCGGAAGTCGCGGGTTCGTCCGCGAGTGAAAGTCTAGTGGGTCGGAAGTCGCTCGTGGTTCTTCCACGAGTTCAAAAACCCAAAGACCTTGGTCAAGCCCAAAGACTTCCATAAAAACACTATGGGTTCAAAGTTCAAACACTATAGGTTTTAGTTAATAACAAAACCCAAAGACCTTGGTTGACCGGACCCAAACAGACTGGACCACCTGGCAAAAGAACCAACCACAGCGCGAGGTGGTCCAGAAGCTAGCCCTGTGACCCAAATCCAAACCCTGGGTTTCCTGGCCCACCATTGATTTAATAGGCGGGTCATCCCAAATCAACTAAGGATTTTACACTCACCGGGCAAATCAAGTCCAACTTGCAGCACCTGCAGCACCTGTCCTCTCCCAACTTTAGCTTGCTCACCGACTTCACGAACTCCTCTCGCGACATCGGCGTCCACAAGTCGACCTGCGCGGCGGTCACTGGCGGCATTTTCCAGAATATCCTGAGTCAGACTGCAAGATTCGCCAAAGATTGGCTTATAAGATGTTTGAAACGGTATAGGTGCTAAACAAAAACTGGTGGTTTTTGTATGGAAGACAACCTTTTATTAAACAACAAAAACACATCCGGGCCCCCGAAAGGTTTGCTGAAGGTGTTGGGTCCATTGATTTTCAGAGTTTAAAAAATCCTCTAAAAGTGCGGACGCCTGGGACTGGTGCAGGGTCCTGCTGAAAATATAAAAAAGGTAACAAAAGCCAGCAGCAACCAACTGGTAAACCAATTCATATCACATGCCAAAATGTCAGTTCGATCGTTCGTTGGTTCGTTACTTTGGTTGGCTTGGTTGGCCCTTCGTTGGTTGTCGTTTGGATCGTTGGTGGCTTCGATCGTCGGGTTGATTGGTTTGTTGGCTCACTGGTTGTTGGTTCGTTCGATCGTTCGTTGGTTTCTCGCTTCAAATTCTGCTGATGAAGTGGATCTGCAGCAAAAGTTGTGCCGCGGGCACCACAAGGAGACCATTTCCTTCTCAAAAAACTTGGGCCTGTCCCCCCCGCGCTGCTGTATACGACAAGGCCATTGCGATCCCAGGTGTCGGAAGCCGATCGACCCACGACAGAGATCGGCCAATTGCTTGCACCAGCAACAGGTCAAAATTTTGTGGCAGGGGCTCCGTTCGGGGCTCCGGGGTCGTACCTCACCCGAACATTCCAGAACGACAAACAACTTGCTCCATGAGAAGGCCAAGGGCTTCGTCCGCGATCACCGGCACGAGAAGTCCGTTGCAATACATGCCAAGAAAATTGTCAGATTGAAATGTCATGGTGGGGATCACTTGAAGTTAAAAATTTGTTTTGTTTATTTCGGGTTGTCTTTGCAGTTTGTTGCTATGTGTGGTCTATGCCGCTTTATCACGAAAACCAGTCGATTGGCTAGGCTGAAATCATTTTCTGTGAGCGCAGTGAGTCTTTAGGGGGTCTGGCGGGAGGTGTGCCAAGGATGTGATTTTGGTGCGTTGGTGCAGAAAATGCAAGGGGAATGGATTAGTTCATCATTTGCATCAGCAACAGCCTGTTCTTGCAACACCATTTAGTTATACTGAGGACCAATGACTTAGGACTTGTTGGTACCAATGACATGGGTAGTTGCTGGGGCGGTTTTCCCAAGTCACCATGAAGCAGAAAAAAGGGGCATCTACCTGAGTGAAATGAAAAAACATTTGACTTAGGAGTTGCGCACAAAAGATGATATCAGCAAATTGTTATTTTTTGAATGAACATCAAATTGTGCTATATCGGGACCACATGACATGGAACTCTTGTATGTTTGTGAACCGTTCTCATCTCCAGTCATGTAATATTTTTGCCTCGCCATGGACATGACATAGGACGGCCTCCTTATTTAAACTTTAAACCCAGCTTCTTCCCATGTCCTGGCTTTGCCAGAAGGTTGGTTTTAGCGCACAAATCTCCAGTCATGCGTTTTGTCCTGCATTTCTACAAGCGTCATGACTTAGGACTTGTGGCTTTTGGCACATTTTGCTCTCTCCTCATGACATGGGACTTGTGTTTTTGAGCATACCTCCGACAAATCCTATGTCAGTGGCGGGTAGTATAATGTTTGGGTGACATTCAACTCATATATCAATAGCCCAATATATACTGGTTCACGGCCTTAACATGTGAAAATCGATTAAAAGATGTGGCCTTTGGTGGGTGACATTGCAGGGGTGCTGGATGAGGAAACTCTTCTCTTCAAACCATGAGTCTCATAGGGATCCTGTACGCTTGGGTTCTCTTGACCCACATCCCTCAATCTACAGCCCTACAAAGAGGACTCATTGGGAAGGACCAAATCCTCTATATAGAACAAATCGCCAAGATCACCATGATGGTAATTCACGCTCAGAAGCGCATTCTTCATAGATCAAAAAGAAGACTTTCGCCTGCAGGAATAGGAATTGCTGTATAGAGGGCGCTGCAGGGAAACCTTTGCAACGGGCCCTCTAGGGACCAGAGATCCAGGGTGGACGACAACGCAGCCTTGCGCGTCGGGTGTCAGTTGAGGAATGCTGCTCCAGACAATCTCTGCGTAGTTGCCGGAGGGTTCAGAAGGGTTTGTAACAAGAAGCTATTGAGGTGAAAACAAAAGGTTTGGCAGTTTGGCAGGCGCAAACAAGCGGTGTGAAACAAACAGGAGGTGACATCGTTGTCTGTGCAGGTTCCAGGGGTTACCTGCTTCACCGGCGGAGGGCAACAGTGTTTGGAGAAAACACCGGGTTGTGTGGTTTGGGTTTCTTGGTTTGTTGGTTCCTTGCTTGTTTGATGGGTGGATGGATGGATGCTCTGTAAATAATGGCGGGCGGGCATGGATGCATAAATGGACGGAATGAAAACAAATGCGGGAGGGGGTGCGGGGAAGGGCGGAGCGGCTCCCCCGAAATGCAAACCAAGTATCGACAGCATTTGGGAAACACAGGCTTGGTTCGCTTGCTGTTGATTGCTTGCGTGATACAGTGCTTGTGATGGAGATGCAGTTTTTCTGTTTGTGTGCTTGGTTGATGGATGGATGGATGGATCCTGTGCTGCCTCACAGTTTCCGGTGGCTGCCAAGGCCAAGGCCACTGCATCCTTTGTCTCCTCTGTCCAGCACAGACTTGTCCACCACCTCCCACACTTTCTGGGCTGCCATTCTCTTCTTCCCACCTCGAGCAAAAAGACGAAGCAGCTGCTGCTGTGGTGGCACAGCTACCTCAACCTCTTCTGCCTCTACCTTTCTGAGTCTGTCCCTGCAAAAATGCGGCTTTGATATCGAATGAACGGAGATTCCACTTCGTGGACGAGATCAGTTGCAGCAGTAGCATTCGAGACTGTCGTGGTGCCTCAGTTTCGTGTGCTGGAATCATCCCATCAAGCTGATCTTGAAGGAGTGCATTGGTTTTCCGGACAGTCTCTGCGCAGTTTCCGGAGGGTTCCGATGGACAGATCGGCCCTCTCTTCTCCCAAAAAGATGGCAGCGCCTTCCGGAGAGGTCAGCTGCAGCATCTCGATCAATTTCCAGAGGTGAAGGCGCTGGGGGCGCGTTCCATCCCGCGGATGTACCTCGCTGGCTTCCAGGCATGAAGTCCACTGGAGGTTCAACCAGTGGAGAGGAAGCCGCACCATGCGCCATGACCACCTCGGCACGCTTCCAGCCCGAAGAGAACCGCTGCGTGTAAGAGGTAGGACCGGCGGAGGGCACCACCAGCTCGAGGTGCAGCACGGCCTCCGGCGGCCGAAGGTCGGCAGGGCTCTCGACCTTGCTGCCGGAGTAGGTGACCACGACTACGGACCAGGGGTATTGGTGGCAGAGGTGCTCGAAGGCATCCCGCTTGTACCGCCTGGAAGGGCCTGTCTTAGCGTGACTGGTAGTCACCTCATCCGCCAGCTCGGCATGGGGCGAGCCCCAAACCACCAGGTTGACGCACGTGGCTTCGAGGCCGTATGCGGTGCGGAAGAAGACGCCAACAAAGAAGCCACGGAACACCCCGTAAAGAAAGAGAGAGAGACAGCCCACAGTGAACATGTCGTCCACATACGTTGCCAGGAAGCCCAATGTTTCTAGCTTTTCATTCTTGATCTTCCAGATGTTGTGCTCATCTTGTTCTCTTCTGACCCAAACATTCCCAATGTCGCTTCAGGGAGAGAGAGAGAGAGAGGAGTCCCCGCTTCTTATCTCCGGCATCTCTTCTGACACGCTTTCTGGCATATCTTCTGGCATTCTATCTGGCATATCTTGTGACATTCTTTCTGGCATCTCTTCTGACATTCATTCTGGCATTCTACAATTATTTCTTGCATCTCTTCTGACATTCTTTCTGGCATATCTGTTGACATTATTTCTGACATTCCTTCTGGCATATCTCATGGAAATCTTTCCGGCATTCTATCTGGCATATCTGCTGACATTCTGTATGGCATATCTTCTGACGTTCTTTCTGGCATATCTTCTGCCATTCTTTCCGACATTCTATCTGGCATATCTTCTGCATATCTTCCGTGTCTTCTGACATTCTTTCTGGCATATCTTCTGACTCCCGGTTGAGGTGTGGCAGGGAACACTGCCGTCGGGAGCTGGCGGTTGAGGTGAAGTCCGGCGGGCAACAAGTTGGCGGTTGAGGTCTGGCGGGGAACACTGCCATCCGGAGCTGGTGGTAGAGGAGGCGAGGAGGACGAGGAGGAGGAGGAGACGCGAGGCAACTGACATAATATCTAACAACCCTCACCTGGCAGTGGGGAATCAAGTACAGTACATACAGTATACTTCACTAGAAAACCATGACCGCTTCCAGCGGCCAATCACACAGGCAAGCAAGTGGGGAAGCCATCAAACAGCCAGACAAGTGCAAAAGACAAGGCAGCAGTAGCAAAAACAGGCCGATTACACCTGCAAACAAGTGCGGAGATGTGTAAGGAGACAAGTGGGGAGACAAGGCAGCAGCGACAAACAAAACGCCGATGAAACAGGCAGGCCTTTGCAACCCCATTAGTCACTGGTTTAGATGTATCTGTGGCGAAATGACGCCCAAAGGTTTGTTCTCTTTGCGCGATAAATTCAACGGTTTAGGATCTTTCATGCATGTGTGCATGTGTGTTGAAACGTTCAGCTCCCATCAAAAGACTGCAAAGTATTATGAGGTATCTACCCGAATCTACCCTGATTTGCCCCACATACTTGATCATGAGGTGTTCCGAAAAACCGCGCCGGAACACCCCCCCCCGCCACATTCCTTGGACTTGGCGGAGGACCTTGTTTGGTTGACTGACTCCCTCTCTGGAAAAATGATCCTCGAAGCTTCTGATTTGCAGCGTCGTTCGCGTTATGTGGAAATTACAATTTGTTGGCTTCGCGAGCTCATGGCCAAAGGAATCCTCGAATGTGCTCATGTCCCCGGTACTGAGAACCCGGCAGATGCATCGACCAAGTGTTTGGCTTTGGCTGTTTTCTTGCGTCACCGAACCACACTTGGATTTGTGGTGCTCACGATGAGATCGACAGTTGATTCGGTGATTGATGTTTCCTTTCAAGGCTTTTTGCATTCACTCGTACATGGACAATGTGTTTTGTGCGGTGATTTTGTTGAAAGGGGGCAGCAGAGTGTGCAATCTAGCTTAAGCAGTCATGTTGAGAGTCAGCAAGTCAGTGCATTGCTAGCTTTGAGAAAGCCTTCGACTTCAGTCTTTTGGATTTCAGAGCTTTTTAGTTTTTGGACTTGTTTGCAGAGTTGCTTGTGTGCTTCGTCATGTTCCGCAGCTGTTTGGTGTCCCCTGCCCGATGGTGGGCCAAAGAAAGCATCTGCCAGCATATCGACACGGAGCTGTCCATCTCCTCGAACTGCAACCTGCATCTCTCCACACACCACAGATCTAGGCTTCCCGTAGTGCAAGGTCCAGCTAAGAGTAGCCTTCAGGTAACCGAGCATCTGTTTGGCGTATTGAACTACTCTGGACGGACGCTTCGTGACATTCCTCCCCATCACTCCGAAAATGGTTCACTGAGGTGGTTCGAAGAACGTCGGCGAGCATTTCAACTATTGGACGCACCGAATTACGACCATAGTGGTACCTAATTAAAAGCGAGCCGTCATTATCCTGTAGACCCTGAACGTATCTCACTTACAGACCCCACATGGAATGGCGCGGCACAAGGGCCGCATTGTTTAATCTTGCGATCAAAAATCCGCTTTTAGACAATGACCCTTGGATTTCCAGGGTGCAGGTGTAAAATGACAAACTTGACATCATTTATGACCCCTTTCCATGATACGTACGTAGAGCAAAAGGTTCAGTTTGTTTAGATCTGTTGCAAAAACTGTCCCCAACCTGTCCTCTCGGGTGGTCTGATACTGGTCTGAAGCCCTTTAGAAGTCCCATCGGAGCCTTCAACTTTGAGCCTCCCTCCCTCCCTCCCCTCATCTCAGATTCTTGAGCATTATACCATGATAGAACATTGTACAACATCCGGGGATACGGGTCGAAGAAGTCAAAGACCATGCGCATAGCGATGCGGTTGAGCGATTTAGAGCTCGAGGGAGAGCGATTTCATGGTCTAAGAAGGGTTGACAGGGAGAAAATAGAATAAGAAACCTTATTTAGAGTCTACCTGCTAGCCAAATTTCTTAATTGAAAGGTTATAGTTGAGAAATAATCTAGAGTCTACTCTAAAAAAGCGTCTTTCTTAACAGAGTCATGAGCCGTACTACAGGGTCCCAGTTCAGGTCTCTCAACCTCTCTTGGATGTCCGTCCAAACGGCAACGGTCTCACGCTTTCTCGGCATCCGAGACGGGTCCAGATGGGTTGCCCCAAAACACCCAGCACCGTCTAGCGTGCAGTTTTGCCGTTCTGGCGACAAGGTGCATAAACATTGGACACATGGAGAAAGTTTCAGGTCATGGTCAATTTGTGTGTGTGCCACCATGTGTGCCGGTATGTGTATATATATATATTATGTAATATAGAATATATAATATAATATATATATATAATATATATATATACATTTCACAGACTAGCAGCTACTTCCCCCATGTCTGCCGACTCTCTTCAACTGAGCTACTGAAGTCGAAAGACCCAGCCCGATCAAACCTCTCAACTTCCGAACTAGCTGTGAGTGCTGAACTAGCCCGTCCCAAACTGACTGCATGACCCACCGATCTCTCAGATCTTTCTCCCACCCATGGCTGGGCCCGGCCTTCGGATTCACTAGCTGGCAGAAGACCTTCATCAAGGCCTTGTCATACTGCCTCCGAAAACAACATACACAGAGACTCCCAGCATCCGGGTGTCCTCGTCAAAAAAGGGTAGCCCAAAGACTACACTCCGGCTGGAAGCAGCTGGAACATATCAATAACATTAGTAGGGTCTATCCTATTCCCTGTTTGCCCAGTAAGTATACATGATGATGGGGCCTGGTTGCAGGCCGTTCCATCTGTCAAATAGCCATGTTCTTGTTGACCGGCGGAGACGGCTGTGTGAGGCGACTGGGCACCGCGGTGAAAGGGGAAACCATCCGTCTTGCAGTTGAAAGGCCAGGGTGTTCAGGAAGAGGCCGACATGTGGGAGATATGCTGAGTTGAAATCCCCGAAAGCAGGTACATAATTCATTTACAAGGCTACAGACTCTACCTGACCTGGGGATTTGCTTAGAGACATTTAGAGTCTCCAGGATATGCTTAGGTCCTGGGTCACACACGGTTCGCACGGTCCTGGCTCTGATCATCCGAACTTCATCCACCCCAGCGGCCCCGGCACCGGCGGAAATGCGTCGCAGGAGATTCCGATCCGGGATTCGGTTTCAGATGGCGCACCGCAAGAGGTCCTTCAGCTGTGGAACATATATAAACCATCTACTCTGAAACCACTGTTTATATATACAGTAGCCTTTATATATATATAATGCAATATGTTGAAACATATTCAGGGATGATTTCTTCGAGCTGGTCACAGACCTCGATCATTTCTTCAAGTTGGTCGGATCACTTCTGCGCTGTCTTCGCGCAGCTAATCCCGGATCCACCGCGACGGCGCGACTGCCGAGAAGATGGATGTGTTCAAAGACCTTCGAAGTAGGTGGTGGATAGACCCTTTTCGGGTCTAGTGGCTTGAGAGTAGATGGCACTAGTATCCCCAAGTCGGGACCCCATCTGTCGTGACCACATCTTGGGGTGGATGCCAGTGCCATCGAACCACTGAAACCGTACACTTCATCCATGAGAGTGGAAGGAATCTCCGCATTCCAACATGCAAACAGCTCAAGTTTGGCACAGCTACACTTCACGTACTTTTGCTCTCAGAAGTCGTTGTTCTTCCACCTTCTTCCATATTGTTCCTCTAGAAATGGGGTGAATATTCACTTCCAGATTTGGAGGGAGGATCGATTCGTAGGATTCTGTCAAAACGAGGCGCATGTTCTTTGACGTCAACCTGGTTAGTTGAGCCCAAAGAGCAAAGCTTTCTATAGATTGGTGACAGCAATGAGCCGAATTCATCCTGCACAGCGATGCACGAAAACCCTACGTGGACCGGTGGAACAGTACGTGGACCTCTCTTGTACATGACCAAAAAAGAACTGCTTGTGGACAGTGGACAGACAAACGGTGTGTGTATCGTAGGGTTTTCTCCGTCCAGCATGCCGTGAATGAGACTCAAGTGTTTAACATGGATCTTTGGGGGCTCCTGTCCATCCTCGGAAGCTAGGGGCAGACCCCCCAAAAAAAACACTCCAATACTCCAATCACATGCAAAAAAACACATCACATCTGCAGCATATGCATGAACATACACGGGTGCAAAGTGATCAAAAAGACTTCCTCTTCTCCAACCGAGGTTTTCCCTTTTGGCCGTGTGACAGCTCTGTCTCATGATGCATCTTGTCCGCGAAGATCTTCAAGCGCTTTGATTGACTTCTCTCGCTGGAAAGACCTGGATTCATTCAAAGGCCACAAAGGAACTTGAAACTGGTGAAAGTGGTGTGTGTAGGAAGCCAAAGAGACTAGACCAAAACCCCAATAAGCATAGACCAAAACCCATGGATTTTGGGGGGTCCAACCTTTGAATGAAACTCTCAGCACGAAGATTGTATGCTCTCTTGAGCTGAATGGCGATCGCCCACAAAGCTAGGTATATGCCATATGCTTTTCAAGTGTTCTTGTGCTGGGCCCTTTCTTCACACTATCATTAAAGTTGTAAAAAACAACAGTGAACAACATTATATATATCTATCATATTAATTCAAATGAACTCGAACAATTGTGTAGACATGATGTCGTGTGTGTTTGTTTTTGTTTTTCATGGTTTGGGTGAAATGTGGTTCCTTTTCTTCACTTGGGTTTGGTCCTAGTGCTTTTAGTTTGACCAACTTGGCAAATGAAGCAGCTGTATCATTCAGAAACCATTTGGTGTCCCATTTGGTGATCCATCTCTGGTCATTGTCATGTCACGTCAACCTCACGTGCATGGAATGACCAGGATGTTCTGCAAATTCTGGACAAAAGTCTAAAAAAGTCGTTCCAGAAGCCCACCCCCCAAAATACAAGCTACTGGCTACTATGAGTTGAAACCTGTTTTCACTCCACCGAAAACAACCAAAAACGCCATACTCCTCATGACCGGACCAAGCCACTGGAGCTCTCATGACCAGAGTGCTGTGAGCTGCATGAGGAAGGAGCACTGGAGCGGAACGAAGAGGCGGAGACGCTCCTGGCGCCGTCCGTCCGTCGTCCGCACTGTAAACACCACTGGGGACGTCGTGTTGAGGCCAACCGGCGACGACGATGGACCCGAAGAACCGAAGCCTGTGGCGAAGAACCGAAGCTGGTCGCCGCTGAAGCTTCGGCATGGGGACCCCATTCAGTTTCGAATTCGATGTGACATAGAAATAAGTTGTTACCTAGCAATTTCCAGATGTTACTGTTAGAACCCCCAGGATGAACCTCCCAGTCCCCCCAGCAGTTCGGGAAAAAAGGGTCTCGACCAGATCTGCGAGACCGGTCTCGCCTGGTCCGGCGGGTCGGCGGTGAACGGTCCGGGTCTTGAGACCGTTCCTGCCAAGTTCCATAACCCAGACACGACCCGGACCTGGGACTGCCAGTCCGGACTGCCGAGAGTTACGGCCTGGGCCAGGGGTGGTTGAAGTCGGGGGGTCGACCTCTGGGGCGGCAGTCCGTCCTGGCAGTCCCAAACGGGTCGTGTCTAGAATCAGACCTGGATTCCATGTCCCATTTCCCACCACGCCCATGTCCTAGCAATATAAGATACACTACCAGGACCCCCCTGTTGGGGTGTCCAATGAACTACCCCGCACTACCGGCCTAGGCTTCCAGACAGGGCATCCCGACTGGAGGGTCCAGGTAAGACCATCTAGCAGTTCTATGTCGGGTCCGAAGCTTGGAGGCGGGTGCCCCTGTCACATCCACTTACACGTAAGGGAACAAAACTAACACCCCTTTGGAACTCCTGGATGATATCTGATAGACATAGAGTGGTTTCAGAGCAAATGGCACAATCCCCATGGTCGGTGGTTTATATATATATATATTTATGGACCCCCATATATATATATATAAAAGACATGTTGGGGTGCATCCGCACCTCTGAAACTACTGTAATTAAAATGATCCAGACAGCTCTAGGAGCTCAAACACCTCAGGTGGTCAATCCGCAGGCCACGAAGCGGACTCGCTGTTTGACCACCGCTGGATCTCTGGTTTAGAAACGCCAGGCACTAGCTCTATGCCTGACTTGATCATGGCATTTTTTTTTGCGCCAGCCAAATCAAATGAATACACGTCTTGTTACGAGCTTCTGTGTGGGCCAAGCGTTGGCAAAGCCGCTCTGAAATCTGGGGTCACCATCGTCTACCAGGTGACAAGGGCCTTTGAACAGCCATCACAGGGTGTCACCAGATGGTCTCCTCTTGGATTTAGCATCTTCCCAAAGGGGGATTCTCAAAATATTATACGAACATCCAAACCACCCGATCCTCAAAAAATCAAGGGGTCTCCTCTTCTCTGGCTCCCCCGCCGGAACCCGCCAGAACTTCCGAACCCGGCTCCTCCTGGATCCTGTCAACGCGCTTAAGGCACTCAGCTCGCTGCCCGAGTCGCTCGAGCGCCGCGGTACACGTGCCACACGGCCGCCCGAGGCGGTACGTGGGTCCAGTGGCTGCCCCTGCAGCAGCACACGCGGTGCGGAGGAGGCGGAAGAACTGCTGGAGCTGTCCTGCAGGATGCGTCTTCCCCAAGAAAGGTGTACAGATGTGTACAGTATATATATATGCTATATATTTCTATATTAATTAATATAAAACAGTGGTGCAATGATAAACTGGGAATGTTTGATAAGATTTCAGATGTTAATGAAAGTGGCCATAAGTGGCGGTTAACCTCTACTACAGTCGCAGGTTTAGAGAGCAATGAGTTTGGGATGAAGAGATTAGAAGGGTCCTACTTTAATTGATTAGCCGAAGCCTCGAGCCCTTTAATTCCCAGACACAACACATGGGACTGCCATCTTGGCCGAGAAACGGCCTTTTTGGGTGGTTGAAAAGGGGGTCTGTCTGGGGATGCATGTTATGGCAGTCCCATTAGTCGTGTCCGGGATATCGAACACATTCACCAAGTCCTTAGAACCATGAAGAACCCTATAGATCTGAAAACCCGATCCTCTCTGCGGCGCAGAATTTGGAACACATTGAGAGTCAAAACACGCGGGACCTGGGGGATCATGTGTGGCCTCGAACGCAGCCTGCCACCGTGTTGTTTTGGTTCGCGCTCCAAAGAACGTGGCTTGAACTTAGCACTCCAAAGAACGTGGCTACAGTCGGATCAGGGTCCAATGGCTCCCAAACGCCGTCCCAAACGCCCTGGTCCCCGTCGAATCGGAGTCTCTGTGACCTGGTCCCAGGCCGGACTCTATGCGACGGAACACTCCGACCGTTCGGGACGATCCTGGGACCGTTCACGAACTGTGTGGGCCCTGGCACGACTGGAAAATCACATGACATCCAGAGGTCGGAGGTCAGCACGACTTAGTAAATGCCTTTGGGCCGCTGCTTCTATAGGTCTCGAATTGGGGTAGAGCAAATAAATTCTACGTTTACCACGGAATTTCAGGAATCGCTCCAAACCCCAGGCGTCTCAAAAAAAAACAGACTCGACCTCTCAAAAGAGGTGACCACCAGCATCTACTTCGCATTCTCCTCGTGCTCGTGGCCTTGCGCATGCGCCTCCAAGTGAGCTCCCGACCTGCAGCTTCAGGACGGCTCGCTTCGCTCGGCTCGGAACGACTACTGGATCGTTGTTTTTAACGAGTGGAAGATCATTTGATCTCAGCATCTGAAAACTTCCCCTGCCAAGAAAGCGCACTATGTGTCGAATATGTCGAATACTTCCCCTGGTCGAACGTGTCGAATGTGTGTGACCTATTTTTGCCAGGACCCGAACACAGGGCTGTCTGCTGTCTACAAAAGCCTTTTAGAAGTGATTCAGGGTGGCCAAAAAACGCCGAACTTGGGGTCGGTCATGGATGATGGTTGGAGACCAGGTGGTGACCTCTCGAAACGAATCACATCGACACATCGACGGGACACAGACTAGTAGAGACACATCGGTCAAAAATAGAATTTGTCGCATCCTAAAGAAGACACCATCAACCCGGTTCTTCAAAGTGACCGAACTTGATCGTCACTTAGGTCTAGATTAGGGACTCCAAATATAGTGATCTTTTGGGGATTTGTCTTTCGAAGGTCCAGAAAACTCTGACTCCATTTGGCCAAACAACATACATGCCAAACCGTGAATCTTGGAGATGTTCACAGATCGGATCAAGACCATTGGATGCTATTATTAGAATATATACCTAAAAGGTTTCACATGGTACGGGATGGGGAAGTTGCCTTAACCGTTCTTTTTCGTGGAAGTCCAACTCGCAACCCCCAGACATGTCAGTCCAATCTTGAATCTTCCATGATCTTCCCCAGACTACATGGAAGGTACGTCCCATTACCCATAATAAAAACATGCTTCCTTCGTAGATGTTCGCAACTGACAATTATACCTCCCATCTGCTACCTCAAAATCTCAATCAACTCCGAGCCACAAAAGCATCCCGCCACTCATAGGCTGTGCCAAGGACCTCCTCCGTTGCGACACGCCGGCGAAGCCCATCGCCATGTTGTGTTGTGCCGTGGACTGCGCGCCAGCTTCGCTGGCGCGTCGGGACGCGGACTTCGCCAGCTCAGAGGGTAAGCCGCTGGTGTTGAAATGCTTGCTGGTGCCACCTGCAAATAAGAAGACCAAATGAGACAAACAGGGCAAGGTTTTGGTTGATGTGAGGACAGGACGTGACAATTCCTGCTACGTAATTAAGTGTAAGTATGTCGTGTAAACATTTAGTCTTGTGACTTGTGGACAGTCCGAGCTTGTTGAGAGGGTTTCTCTCCTCTTTCAGCACCCCTCACATTAAGAAAAAGTCTCCTCGGAGGAAAAGAAACATATCCAAATCCAAACTAGTACGTACTTGTCCTCCGCACAGTACTGGATTGTCCAGACAGTCCAACCCATTGGACATGCCCTGAAGTGTCGGTTGCATCTAGTCGGATTGCCAGTACCCTGATGCCCTGTGAAAATGACCGGTAGACCAGAGTCTTTCTTTCAGTACACAAGGGATGCAGGCTGCCAAACAACTGATTATTAAATAAAAGTCCTCTTGCTGGAAAGGGTAGGATAAGAATGTGCATGATGTTGTAGATGAAACTATCTTCACAATTGAAGTGTCACTTGTGGCAATCACCCACACCAGCAAAGTGTCCTTCCTTTTTTGAACAAAACACCATCATTCATGTTCTTCATCGGAAAGTTGGGTCTCGACTCCACCACCACATCTTGATGCGTTCGGAAACAAAAAATCAAAGAAACTGCCAACAACCCCCAATTGGTGGAAAGGCATAATCCCAACCACTTCGGCTATACTGTAGTATATAATTATATATATATATACCCTAGGGATCCAAGTACCTTCTCAGAAGGTGTTTGGAGTGGGTTTGGAGGGTCCAGGTGCCTTCTGAGAAGGTAATTGGATCCCTAGGGTGTATATATATATATATGTTTTTACCTAGAACCCATTTGATCCTTTTGCTCCAAAACAGGGGACACTCTGTCAGGTTCTAGCTTTCACTTGGAGAGAGATCCTCAAGTCCTCAAAATCTGTACAACCAGTTCATTCTGTAGCTCTGCAAAGGGGCCCCAAGCACAATCCCCTTTGGCACGATCCAGCTCCACGCGAGTTCCTTACGCGGCAAGACCGCATGTCCCCCCCACCTTCGGGCAAGGCGACCTCCGCCTCAGCCTGGCTCCGGCCAGGTGAGGCACTTGGGTGAGTCACCAAATGGTTTCCCTGGAAAATAGAGGTCAACCTTTTTCAATTAAAAACCCAATGTTAAACCAATCCCCCCCAAAAAAGGTTTTGCAGGTGATCCACATACTTCCTGGGAGACCGGGGTGAGTCCTATCTCGAACCTTGCGTTGCACCCGGGTTCAACGACACGACCCCGGTGTTTGGTTGCCCAAACACATGCTGCGGGTCCGCGAGTTCGGGTCTACCAGTGACTGGAAGGGTCTCTCACGGCCGGTCCCGTCCGGTACCTCGGTTCGGTGGGTGGTCGACTGGGGAGGTCGAAGACCACCGGTCACCATATGGACCAGCCCTACGGATATGGACCAGCCCTGTTGAATGGGACAAGGTCAACCCTAAATTGGATTGAACCATGTCCAGGTTCCGTGCATGGGTCTTAGTCACTTCGCACTTAGTCAGGTCCGTGCTGTCCAGGAGAGAAAAACAAACAAACGCCGATGGACGATTGGCCGAAAAAACTGGACGATGGGAGGCTGAAACCGAAGGATTCTGTTCGGAAGTATCAGTGTGATACTGGTAGCCCAAACAAAAGGTGGAAACGGACCACCACCGACAAGAAAGCTAGTGAAGCAAACAAAATCACAGGAATATCATATTTTTACTTGCTCAAAGATCGCGTGAAGTGTGTTTCATCCAAACAAAGAGTCCCTGGACTTGCATGAGATCGGTGGCTGCGTGAAGTATCCCCCAAGCATTGTCGCACTCGCGAGCCTCCAATCGGTCAGCCGTGAGTGTCTAAACACGCGCAAAAGACCCCCCCAACACAAGAACAAGAACATCCTCCTGAACTCTGAGACATGCATCATTTCTATCCACAAACGCTCAAGGACCCGAACCAGCTGCTAAATATTGCTACATGCTACATGTTGTTTTGGTCTAAAGTCCTGGGTTTTTTGAGGGGGTTCAAACCCTACAGCGAACGGGTTTTAGACTTTGAGCTTTCATCAAGCCTTCCTTTCACTATCTGGAGTCGATCTGGTCTGCTTGTTCAGAAAAATGGCGACCAAATGTTACCAGCGCCTGGTGTATCTTGACCTGCTTTTTGGGGTTTGTACCTCATGTCCCATTTCTCTAGGGGACTTGTTATTTTTGTTTTTCTTGCTAGGTCAGTCAGGCTGGTGCTGTTTCACTTCGACCTTGGAGATGCTTTAGAACAGATGGTCTACAAGTTGGATCCGGGCCTACAGATGGTCTACCGCATGCGCCTTCGATTTCTCCGACCAAAACCCAGCACCTCCATGCGTCCTCCCAAGGCTGCCACGTCCTGCGATGATGATCTGGCCAATCGCTTGAGGTGCAAATGGGTTCAACCGAAGATGAATATACTCAAAGCAAATCCAAAAGGGTCCCCAAACCACAATACTTTCAGATACAGTATATAATTCCTATCCCTACGTGTCAAAGACCTTACATTACTGGAGTTGGTCATATGTTATACAAAACTCCTTAATGAGGTAAAAGTAAAGCGGTAAAAGTAACTCCTTTGGACCTGTAGGGTATATACTTGCCAGATTCAGCACCCTAGGACCTTCCAATTCTGACCCACACCGCCACAGGCATTCAGAGCCACTGGAGGCGCCATCCGCCTCCAAGGCTGGAAGATGACCCCTGAGACCTCTTTTTGCCAACTAGCTTTAAGGAAAGTTTGAGGAACCTAATAGCAATGGCTTCCAACCTACTAGCAATGGCCTCGAACCTACTAGCAATGGCCTCGAACCTACTAGCGATGGATAGGGCGACATAGGGCGGGCCAAGTCCCCTGAAAGATACTGAATCCCTGCAAGATTTGGTTGGCTTACTCTCTTCAACCATTCTCTGCATCCGTTGCTTGGTGTGCACCTTTCAAAACACATGCCATCAAAACTCCTAACAAACCAAATAGTAGTTAGTTTATCCGTTTATCCGCTTTTATCGCACCTGCACTCTTGCATCCTCTTGCTTCAGGGACTTGGACGACAAATGGTGCTGATTAAAGCATGTGGAGGGGTCCGGTCTGGGGTCTCAATCCGTCCTCCCAAAAACTCACATCGACCCGGTTTTCCTCTACCAACCCAGTGGTTTTCAGGGTCCAGGTTAGTCGTCTTCCCAGGGAGTGACTTGAACTTGAGGAAGTGACACTTGAACGGGCCGCTCGCGTCGAAGTCCATCGCGTCGCGTCTCCTGGGAGAGTTGCTCCGCCATGCTCGTCCGTCGCGCTTGCATCATGGCACTGGCACTGGCCCTCCGAGTGGATGAGGCGACAGGTTGGGCCACGGGTTGGACCACCGGCACCACCTGCGCGAGCGAAACAAACAGGATCGGCGGAGGAAAGAGTGGTGGGACGGGGGGTGGGAGTGCTGTTTCCTGGGGAGTATATCATGCCCTTCTGAATGTAGGCATCCACTGATGACGATTAATCAGTAGCAGTGGTCTTGGAAGATTGGAAGGTGTCTTTTTATGGCTGTTCGATCAATTAGAGCAAGCAAGCTAAAATCTCCCCACATAGAACCAACATGAACCAACTATAACTGCTGCAAGTGTCTTCAGGGACACGTGGCTGCCCCGAAAGAAATCATCCAAGCACACTTTCACAACCTCAATCAAGCAATCATCAAGCATCCTCATGGTCATTGGGTCCCTCGGCATGCCATGCAGCAACGAGTTCACCAAGGTCTCCGAAACATGACACGAGAGCATGCACGAGAGTGCTTGAAACCATCGAGAATGATAGTACCAGCACCGAAACCAACAGGTCTCCGATGGCTGGAGGGTTGTATGTACACTATGGGAGTGCACGGTTCTGAGAAAATGCGCCCAGCCGCCTCCATGGGCGGAGCCTGGAGTCGTGGGGAGGATGGGCAGAGCGAACGTGGGCAGGGCAGCTGGTATAGGCCTTGTTCAAAAACATAAAACATCTAATACCCAGACACTCCATGTATGCCATATTTGCCTACGTTGGGGGGGTGGTGGGGGTCAATGTAGGCATATACTCCATACATGGAGTGTATGGGATATAACAATACCTGTACCTTCTTTCGGGGTGTGGCTGGAGGTCCCGGATGGTGGGCTGGGGCGAAACCAGCCAGGTGACCCTGTACATGAAGGTGCTGGTAGGATTAAAGCTTAGTGATGTTGATCAGATTGGAATCTTTACAGCCGGTCTATGGACTAGAAACTGACAACTGACAATCCAATCATGTAGGATTGTTGCAAGTAGGCTGGAGTTGGGCCTCAGTGGCTTGCACAGACCCGACTCAGAATCATGTCTCTCCGATGTCCTTTTTGGAAGAACAGATCAGCGCAAGAACCGGCAAAGAACCGCTGAGTTTGAATAACAAAAAGGTCCGTTTCACCGGGCTGCAGCGTTTGCGGTCTGCAAACGGCGCTTAAGCCGGTGGGTCGGGGTCCGAGTCAGTTGACTGAGTGGAGTCCAAAGAAAGGATCGACCCTCGCAGCTAATGATCTCCTAACCAGCGGGCTTTAAGATGTTTGGAGTAGCACATGTTCACTTTTCAGCCGTCAGCCGTCAGCTGTTTGAATCAGGACATCACTCAAAGCAGGAGAGGTCGCCATCTAACGATCGGTAGTGTCACTCTCGGTCTCGCAGGGGCGAGAATCTGATCGCTTCATTTAGCCCGAACAAAGCAACTTGCACAGTGCCTGTGGTTTGCTGATCTGAATTGATCAAGTGCGGTCAACTGCGTGATCAAAGACGTTTTCTCTCTTGAACCGTGTGTTCTCTGCGAAGAAAAGAGCTAAACGGCTGTGATCTGAACTCATCCAGGGGGAGGTGGAACCTTCCACCCACTCCAAGCCGGGCTGGCGCCTGCGTAGCAGGTGCCGAGGTCATCAAGGAATTGAGCATGCTGGCGCGTGCCCCCAAGCCGTGCGCATGTGGCGCATGCGGCGCATGCGGCCCGTGGGGCACGGGGACGACCTCGGTGGTGAGGCCCCCTACGAGAAGCTCCCTATTACCTCAGCCCATGCAGACTGGAATCTATGCCGTCCCATTGACAACCTTTTCAACCAAAGCAATGTAGGTAAATAGGCCATTGATGATCATGGATGGTTTGGGTATGGATGTACGTGAATCTCAGGAAAAGAATACCTTGAGGACATACTGCCCACGAGTTCATGGCCATTCACCACGGAATGTGGGAAAAGTTAGGATCTCGTGTAGGGAATACTCTCCATGCAAAAGACCTTTGTAGGTACTACTGACGGGTTAGTGACACCTCCCAATGTGTGTGCAATAGATTCAATACTGAAACAAACAGTTCTCAACATCAAAGGGGAAAGTGACCAGAATGCACCAACTGAAGATGACAACTTAGACCCGAGGTCTAAGTAGAATTCACCACAGCAACTCCCCTACTGTATGAAGCTCCAAGCTGCCAGGGAAGTGGAGCGCTTTCGCTTGGCCACTGCTGGGCTGTCCACCTGAAAGCTGCCACCGGCCACCGATTTCGGCCGTCCTCGTGTCGGAGTTGCCCTCCATGGAATCATCATGGAAGTGGATCATGGCCCCGATTGCGGATGACCATGAAATCCAAATACTCCACGAAACCCGTGACTCTTCGAGGGAGTGTAGGTCGATCCAACAACCGAAGCAGTGCCAGGATCATCGGTCCTGGGTATACTGGCTGGAGGTATGTAGTGCAAGACATTCTATTGGATCTATTGATGATCCAGGTGGATGAGAGAACGCTGAAAAGAGACCAAGCATCAAAATGGTGTTCTTTCATGTTCGTTCCCGTCTTTGTGGTGTAGTGTAGTGAAGCAGAATAAGACATCTGTCGGCTCTGAGCTCCGACTTCTTCCCCCGTGTTTCTTACGAAGAAGTGGGAATGCTGCTCTCTGGTGTATCTCGGATTTCCAACTGTCGGAGGTGTTGGTGTTTCAAGGGACAAATCATTCCGTACAAGTCAGTTGGACCTGGACCTCATTTTAATGAAGTAGATCATACAAAATTATAAAGCTGCTCAATTGAGATAAAACCAGGTTGGATCTTCTAAGTAACTGCATTCACCTTCTATATATGTGGTACTTTGTCATGTGTCCTAATATTTCCATTACAACATGTTGCTATTTGCTAATTAAATGTATGCATGCTAATGCACACCAAACTAAACGATGTGAGAGGCGTTTCGATCAACCTAAGGATGTCAACTCCTTCTAGCTATTTACACTCTAAAACATCCCTCACAAAGGGGTCTACACTGATTCCCTTCTAGCTGTTTACACTCTAAAACATCCCTCACAAAGGGGTCTACACTGATTCTATCACCTGAATGTCTTCCTTTTTTCAGCCGGCTGCGACAACGCAAAAGACGCAACAGAATGGTTTGCATTGGGTTGCATAAAAGTAAGGGTGCCACCCCGATCTAGCCCATAGGTAGACTGATCTGTTCCTCCTTTTGGACCGTCTCTCAGTCTCCTCCCCCTCGAACTACAGATCTGCCGTCCTTTTCTGCGTGTGAAGTGAGGCTCTCTTTTGGGAGGCGATCCCCGAAAAATCCCTTGTGCTTCTATCCCTCTATGTATCTATCTATCTCAATTAATGAATACAAACCTCAGCGAAGTAGATCCAAACTAATGTCGATATATGATTAATGTCATAGAAGCCAAGCAAAAAAAGCACTCCAAACCCATAAATAGACCATACATTCAATGAATGTTCAGCGAAACGTTTCCCTGAAAACCCCAATGTCGTTTGTTGTGTCGTGGTTCTTGTACTTTTAGCCCCATTCGATGTCCCCTAGATGTCTCCCATCTCGGTTGGCGAAGGACGATGTTTTTCCAGGTCGATCCGGGCAGTTCTACCGGTCACGTCATGTGGCCGGTCACTGAGTACTTGTCACACTGTTCTTACAATCCAATTGCCATTTGTGACCTTTTTGTGGTCCATGTTGTCTGTTTTTTCAAACGTTCCATCCAACTTGTCCAGCATCTTTCCATCCGATTTGTATCTCTCCAGGCCTCATCCCAAACACGATCCACGCCTTGAACGGAGCAGAGATTTGGTCGAGACGAGACCCACCACGAGGGCAAATATCAAGTGAACTGTTGTTTGGAGCGCTTGGTGAAGTGTTGTATTTCTCTGATTTTATGTTTGCGTCTTATATTATATCTGCATATATCTGCTAGTCATATACATATACAACATATCTTATTAGCCGGGAAAAAAAGAAAACATCAAAACCATTGGAATATTCCGCCTTGCAGGTCGAGTGGTCAAAAGGAATCCTCCAAGCATGTACTCTTTCAGGCAACCAACAGAACGAGAACCAAGAGGTCTCCGCAACCAAGAGATCTCCGAAAGCCAATCATGCTTCATTCCAAGGATTAGGTTCTGTTGATTTTTATCTTGAACTACATACACTCCCTAGAATATAATCATGGTTTCGTGGAGTTCGCCACCGGTTTGGGTTTATGCACTCGGGTCTATGCCATCCACTTGATGATTTTAGGGAGTGTCATGTATCTACCATTATCTACCTATCACTGACCAGTCCCCAGCATCACTTCTTCACCCAGCGGAACGAACTCAGCTCGGAGACGCCCTCGCGCCTTGCATGAGCGTTGAAAGGAGTTCTTGCGTCAGCAAGGCAGCCGTCCGACGCCCACCTGACCGGCTGTAACCGGCTCGGCACAGGAGTGGACGCATGGGTCGCTCGTCGACGCATGGGTCGCTCATGGGGGTCGACGGATGTGGAAGTGCCTCTTGAAAAGCCACAGGTGGGGGGTGCAAGCCGCTGCAATCGACAGAATTGACAAATTCGATCTGGTATAGCTTGGATCCGCAAATGAACCTAAAACATCCTAAAACCAACTGTATGATCAACAATGGTGCAGTAAGATGCCGTTTCTCCTTGAGGTATTTGAGGTGAAGGAAAACCAGTGATTTTTTCTGAATGTCCAGAGCCAAATACTTTCGGTTGGCAGTGTGCACTGGCTGATTCCGTTTCAGTCTGGTCATTTCGGAGCACGATTCACTTGGTAAACCATCCCTACAGATCCACTGCCACCTCAGCAGGTATGACTGGACCCTGGAAGGCTACGCATATAGAAAATCAATATATATATATATAAGTGTCTCCAATCACCCTCTCAGAGAGTGGATCCATAGGGCAGAGTACAAAGCCTTTGAGCGTTTGACACGAAGCCTCACGTCCGAAGCCTCAGAAGCCTCACGTCGATAGGCGCGTCCGTCATTTGGAATTGGGATGTACCACTCGGACCGGAGCAAATGCAAGACAAACACATCTAAATTGTCGCATCTCAATCATTTTGATATAGTAGTCCCTGGGAGTCAAAGACTATAAAAAGAATGGTCTTTAGGTGAATGTCCTTTACTTCAGTCAGTCAAAATATAGATAGTCTTTGGACTTCTAGGGTAGTTTGCTATTATTTGGCATTGTAACAGGTTTACAAGGCCAAACCCCACACGTTCCATGCATCATGAAACCGGGGTGCCAGCGAAATCGCATGGACGTCCTGTGTGTCAGACTCGCCCAAAAATCGCGGGAACTGACATATCCACTCGAGCCGGTGACAAAACAGCCCTCAGGCAAACTGGTGCTTAGAGAATCAAAGAATGACCCCTATATATATATATAGGATTTTCCAAGACTTCCAAATGACTCAATTTTACATCACCAGACCTAAGAATCTTGAACCACCCACTGCCCCCCGGGCCCAGGAGGTCAAGAGTTTCGTCATTTGAGGACTCTCTGGGTTCCATTCCGTTCCATTTCCTCATGAGTCGCACCAACCAGTACACCATGGAACCTGAAAACATCTGGGTCGCTCCCTCTCCCCTCCCTTTCTTGGGCAACCCGACGGCGTTCGCTCGTCAAGCCGGCACTGCCACCACGGTCTGGGGAGCAAAAGAGTGGTGAAGAAGTTACGGAAGTTACAAAAGATCTCAAGTATCACAAAAGCCGTTCAAAAGCTGTTCAAACATCTCATATACAGCACTTCAACCGTTGATGTTGGAAGCCTTTCACACATCCTTCAACCTTCAGGCAAACATCCGCGACCTATTCCGCTTCGTTCGAACTGCACTAGATCCGATCTCGCACTTCTTCGACCTGGGGCCTTCGCACCCCGTGCACCATGTGGCCGCCTCTCCCGGTTGCACCACGTCTCGTCTACGTCTCGTCTCTCGTCGTCTCTCGTCGTCTCGGCGCGCCGAAGAGGAGCTGCACCAGCTCGGCGCGAAAGGCTTCCGCTGCTTGCAAGCCTGAGGGAAGCTGATGTGTTGGTTTTACTTGTTGGCACCGAAAAAAAGCACGCAGCAAAAAACTGGTATACCAAGATGTACCAAGCGTTTGGACTAGGAATCTAGGAGTCAAAGAAATCTTGGGACCACAAGTGGTCTGCAAAACCACGTGAAAAAGTCCGAAGAAAGGACATGGGAAAGCTAATCACCTATTACTTCCCTGATGAGGACCAAAGCAACTTGAGCTGCAGCCATGCGAGAACAACACCCCCAAATGTGCTTGCTTGCAATCCGTAAGAGTCAACTGGGACCACGCAGGTGGGACCCCCGGCCTTCCGCATGGAGCAGCGACTTCAGGAATGCCAAGCGCGTCACCTCCTGTATCGCACCACGTGGACCGGTGGATCAAACACTCAATGTATGGAATGGGCTTCCAACAATCGGTCATGGCTAACAACTAAGGATTTTACATTACAAAAACCAGGTCAACCATGTTTGTTAATGGTCTTGGAAGTCTAGGGTTTACTTACAATAGGATGGTTTCTGGGTGAATGTAGGCTTATATTCCAGTCCCACGGAGTGTTTGGGATATAAACATATGCTGGTTTTCCACTTCCATGTATTCCAGGCTCGGAGAGGAGCTCCAGCTCCAAGGTCTTCCAGTTCAAACCAGTGTGCAGCCTACAGGTCAGGAACAGACCTCACTTTACTGGAATTGGTCGTGCAAAGACAGTACTTCATGAGGGACCAAAACCCAGGCTGTGTTTGGTCAGAGGGTCCAGCGACGTACTGGGTCGACCTACGATAAAAAGTGACTTCACCGTTCTCACCGCTCTCCCACTGCAAACAATTTCAACGGATTAGCCTTCTCAAAACGCCATGGCCTTCTGAGCTCGTGGAGCATCAAAGTCAAATCCTCAATCAATGAAACCCATAGCAAACTCCTGCAAAGGAGCACATGGACCCCAAAACCACTGGGCTGGTGGTCTTCGGAAACTGCTCTAAACCACCACGGGTTTTCCTTCCACGTCTCTTTTGGTGCAAACCACTTCACTCATCAAGGGTTCGGGTGCTTCATGGTGCTCCATGGTGCAAACCACATGCTCTCACCTTCTCCTGCGATACGTCCAAGGTCCGGGATTGGAATAGGTACCGATTGCCTGGGTGTGCATGGATTACTGGGTTAGCATGGGTCATGTTCATGGTGAGAAACGTGTTTAAAACATATGGGCCGGGTAGATGTATGCAACTCCCTAGGGCTCCTGGCCTACCTCCTGAGAAGATGGTTATGGTGGGTGCCAGGGGGGTCTAACCACCTTCTGAAGATATGGTTGGAGCCCTAGGGACTAGTCCGGTCCCCTTCGTCTGGTCTGAGAAATCCCCCCATTCACAGCTGGCCGTCCAAGCAACCTCACCTGTGGTGCCTCCTCACCTGCACAGTCGGGAACCACGCAGGTGAGGACAGTCGGGTAGAAAGAAGATGCACAGATTTTTACTAGCTGGACAATCCAATTGGAGATCGGAGGGTAGTCCATTGGAGACCAAATGGTGTTGCTATGTATCTGCTAGAAACTTTTTGTTGTGTCTTGGCTCAGATGGACGCCCAAATGGATTTTTAATTCTATTTTACAGGCACCCAGAGCTGATCTGTGCTTACCCATCCGCCAAGGCAAACCACAATGAATTGAGATGAATTGAGTCAGTGAGGAGAGGTTCAGATGCATTGAAACATGTTCCAAACGAAGTCACACAAGTATCCCTGAGTATCTCCGGATCCGGGGAAGGATTGGCAGTGTCACTGTTCGGTACCAACAGGCGAAGCAGTCCAATCGATCTGTCGTTCCAATCGATGCGTCCGTCGACCAAGCACAACTTATATGCCCTTGAAAGTCTCTGCAGCCAGCGCATGAAGGAGACGCTGTTGTGAAAACGATCACTCAAGGTGTGTTGCAAGGACGCCGGTGTCAAACGGAAGCCCAGTCTAGCAGGGTTGTGGATGAACCCGTTTTCGCGGTTTTCCGGGTGAATGTACCGGTCAACCAGAGGACCGTTCAACCGGTTAACCCACGTTGTGAAACAAACAACGTCTAATCTGTTGAACAGGACGTCGAGCACAGCGGAGACTTGAGAACAATTGGGTCTGGATCCAAACTGATGAACACCCAGGTCAGTTCATTCCTGTACACAAGATTGTATCGGGGAGTCTTTGTGAAGCACCGTGACAGGGTGGTGCTGGGTCGTTGATGGTGTTCACTTGGAAAAGCGTCAAACTGAAAAAAGAAAAGGTACTTGTACCCATGTTCTGAGGTACTTTGAGCCTCCACAAAGCATCTTCCTTCAGTTACCCTCGGATGGTGGCCATGGTCCGGCCCAGCGTCAAAAAAAACACACAATCTTCGACCCTTCAGTGACTCATCTGGTACCATGGTCGTGTTTTCCTGCCAAATTCCATCCCCTTACACTCCTACTCACTACATACACATGCATATAATATGGAAGATATGGAAGTGGATGGCACCCCCTGTTTGTTAAGGAAAGTAGTCTTTCCAAAGACAATGTTGGATTATTTGTCCACTTCCGCGTTAGTGAGGCAGAAGGTACCTTTTCCGGCCTCCGCCTTCGACCTCTTCCTTCCCTGCGCAGACAGCGACCGGATTCCGCGGCCGCATGGATTCATCCCGGCCTTCGTCCGGACGGACCTGACCTCGACTGAATCCAAAGGATCGAAGTGACATTCAAGAGATGAAGAACATCCGAAAACTACTATACCAGCACCGGAACTATGTCGGGGTCACCTGGCGGGTTTCGCCCCAGCCCACTACGATCAGGGGCCTCCAGCCACACCCTGAAAGAAGGTCCAGGTATATATATATATACCAGGAGTCACAAGACGGGGTGGTTTTTAGTCCCTAAGTGAGTGGATGTTCTGGGCACCCCAAACCTCCATGGACAGCACCCCGTCTCGACTGCTGGTATATATGGATCTCCTTGGATATCTATGGATGACAACCTTTGCCCGGCCAACTCCTCTACAACGCCAGTTGAGACCTTTTTTCAAGGTCTCTTCGATCAGGTGCCACTGACCAACAAGTCACTCATGACTGCTGTTTCAGAGTCCAGACCTGGTGAGTTTGGATCCGAACTAATGGCACCAATGGTAGACCAACACCCCGGCGAACGGGCTGGGTCTTTGAGAACAGGTGGATCCCAACACCCCAGCGCCAGTTAAAATGCGCCACTCACCTCCACCGGCACCTGTCACCGGTTCCAAAGACTGCCAAACCGACTGAACGGAACGGGCCCCTGGTTACTGGGCTCCAGTGGTTGGGGATCCCGAATGGGCGGAAGTCCGTTCGACCATCTTTCACATGGTCGATCTGGTTTTGTCGTGTAAAATCCTTATAATAGTAAAACAATGTAAAAAAATGGTTCTTCAGTAAAGGCTATTTTGCAAAAAGGGTGGACCACTTCTCGGGTACATCAATCTGTGGTACCCGGTTGGTTAGATTCCTGGACCCAGCATCGGCCTACTGCCACTCGCACCAAACGAGGCTGAAGCAGGTGGATCAGGCGTATTATGGAGCGCTCGGAAAGCACGCGAGCGGCGCCTGTGGTCTCATTGTGCTTGGTCATTTTCGTGAAATGATGATAGGCCTGGCCGCGGATCGATTTGATTTGAAGGAACATCTACAGTACAGGAAACCCATATGTTGTTACCACCAAAACTATGGGTTTCCTGCAGATTTGTCCTTATAACCAATTCTGGCTATGGGTATGTTGGTGTCCTGCTGGAATGTCCTGCTGGAATGTCCTGCTGGAATGTCCCCTAGAAAGGGGTTTCACACGGTTTCAGGTTTTGTGATTTTAGCAATACAGTCATCCTGGAGTAGACAGGTAGAGTACATATGGGGAAACATGAAAAAAACACATGAGAAACTGGTACATGTCTTTCTAAGAAGGTGTGCAGAATCATTGATGCGTTCGACTCTAGAAACCGGCTCAGTTGGATGTCCGCAGAAATCCCAGGGTCCCAAGGTCCCGGGCCTCCCAAGGCCCGATACACCAAACACGAGGAGAACACCCTTGCTGCAGTTCTACAGTGATACAAATCCATTGGACACCAATCACTATGACCAAACTCCAGGTTCAAGAGCCACAGTCCTCCTGAGTCGCTGTTTTCTTGGGGGCATGAGAACCATTCAAACATGCATGGAGTGCCATGTATCAGTGGTGACACAATTGAAGGGAATATTGCCATATAGTTATAGCTAGACCACTTGAACAATTCATCTACCTGTGTAAAATCTCTAGCACGTTGCAACATGTCTGACATGTCTACTTTAGACCCATCATGACCCATCAAACCAATGCCTGGCAGCTAAGGAGGACAAAACACCGCTATCGACGTCAAACAGCTCCACCACACAAAACCACTCAACCCTCCCTCCACACTCCCTGTCACCATCAAGAAGCAAGCCCTCTTGCACCTTCCTAATTATGTTGCTTCCTAACTTCACTATGTTTGATCACACTGATCACACCCAGTGGAAGCTTAATCTTCCACCACATAAAACTACCCCCTTTGAACATCTTCGAGTTCATCAGCTGCATGTTGCGGACTCCTCTCACTCCCGGTCACTACCAGCGTCTAACACTGGTACCCCTCGCCACCCCGCGGGGGGGTCACCGGCCTCGCGGCCTGAGACGCCATGGTCAATCATGAAGTCTCGGAAGGTCTCGCGATCCAAGACCTGGCGCTCCCACGGGTCGCAGCGAGCAGCTTGAGCAGCTTGAGCAGAGCCACGAACGTATGAGAGAATACTGGATACTACGTACTCATGAGAGAATCAATGGAGTTGTGGAGTCGAGTGAAAAGCACCTGTTCTGCGTCTGATTTTCAACGAAAGGGGCCATCGTCCTGCCCACCCAGACCGCGACCCGAACGGACCGTGCCCGAAACCTTTCCCGGCGAGTCCGGGTGGGTCTGGGGGTTCAGGTCTCGAGGGGACGGAGGGTCGCACAGCGAGTCGCACCTGGCTCTTTTCTTCCGATTCTCCCGGAGGATCACCCACAAACACAGCCCGATGATCTGACTACCCGACTCTGCCAGGTGACCCATTGAAACCTGTTAGTAGGGCCCTTCCCAACCCTCCATGCTGGGTCTCCCTGTTGGTTTTCGGTGCTGGTAGTGATACTTGATCAAATGTCTTCTTCGGTCCCGTAGTCTGCTTTTGGTGCAATTGACCGAATGTTCCCCAAAAGGTTTTGGGAAGCCTCGCAAGAGAGAAAACTGCACTCATCCCTGCCTCTTGCGCTCGCGGATGGCAGTTGCCAGTGGTCGCATGTGCACTTAATTATTGGGGGGGTTCTTCTCACAGTAGTCTCTGCCCATGCCGACCGAGAAACATCATCCCCGAAAAACATCCTCTTGCCGCTGCTTCCTTACGACATCAAATGGACTGGTTTCCTTCTGAAAACCATATTACCCAGACGCTCCTGGACCCTCATATGCAGGGGTGGGACCCTCATATGGAGGGGTCGGACCCTCAAATCCCTATGGTTTTGAGGGCCCTGTCGGCCTGTTTGGAGCGTGGGTAGAGCAATTTTCAGACACCAACAGTGTACTGAGGTGCACATTGACCCGCCCCTGGGCCCACACTCCAATTCATGTTCCGCTGTGGACTGAGCGAACGGATCCTGATCGCTTTTCTTGTGGAAGCATGGTTGAGAAGTTGAGCTGGTTTTGTAGTCTGAACTAAGGAGGGAAAAATAAACAGCAAAACCGGCGTTTGCGATCGATGGCAGTCGCTGTGGATCGTCCAGACGTCCCGAGTCCCGAGTCAAGCGCCCTGGGTGGGGCCCGTCTAACTCGTGGCTTACAGGGTGGACGACCGGACTGGGCTCCAGGTTGACCATCCCCAGATCAACCCTGTTCGGCTCCAAACGGCGCTCCGTTTGGTGAATAGGCGAGTCAGATCCCGGCACCTGGCACCCACCCCAATCACCGAACCGAAAACGGGGCGGCCAGGAGCCCAAACGGGCCCAAACGGGTAAGTTGGAGTCTCACTGATGTCCCGCCTGGCGACGGCCGAAGGCTGCTTGCACAGCGGCCTGGCGCTGACGTCTGCAGAGGCGTCACGTGGCAAGGCCCAGCAGTTTTGGTGAGTTACTGAAAGCACCGGTGAAATCTGATGCCATGGCATCTGAATGACATCAAGTGATGTAGCACGCATCTACCAACCTCTTGTGATTGCCACACATGTCCACAAATGTGGCATTTGTTGGCATTAATGACTCAATGACTCTTTTGGAGGACTCGTCCCTATCCCTATCTGGATGACCATTGTCATCTCGTCTGTTACCCGTTCCGGCCCATTTGGGAGGACGACAGTCACTATCTTCCTCACCCACCAGCTGATTGGCTCATCCATGAACCAAAGACCCGACCGACTACTGACCTTGACATGAAGCCTCATACTTCTCTCCTACACGCGACCATGGATCAGAGGAACCGAGGAAAAAGATCCACATCTTCCGAAGGTAAACAACAACAACAACAACAACGACAACGACAACGACAACGACAACGACAACGACAACGACAACAACAACAACAACAAACAACAACAAGGAAGCGACAACAACAACAACCACAACCAGGTAACACATCGAAAATACACACAAACATACACAAACAAATTGTCATGTCCAGTTTGCACTTGCCTAGGTTATTGAACACGCGATGCCGATCGGCATGTGATTGAACACCGCAGCATTTGCCGCTGCAAAGCCCTGAAGAGTCCCGGACGGGGCACGAAAGCTAGGCCTTCCATCCCTTAAATCCTAAACCCATTGGACGTAGGGTAGGGTAGTCTAGCCAGGACACCCAGGTCCAGGATGACCCTGGCAGGTAACACATCCATCCCCCAAACACCTCCATCCCATTAAACCCTAAACCCTCCAACCCCTCCGAGGTGTCCCATATTAAGCCTCGCAGGTTTGGTGCTTGATCCGCAGCCTGTGCCGGGCTGGCCGAGCGGGCGGTTGCGGAGTATGCGACCTGTGGGAGGTATAGGAGGTATACGACCTCACGTGGTACCCATTTCAAAAGGCAAGGAAGGAGGGTTCATCCTTAAGGGGTCCAAAAAGGAACCAAGATCTACCAAGGATCCCTACTATAATGGCTCCTAAGGTGTTCCAAGCTAATGGCCACAGTTCCGGTTCAGAACGGAATGAGATGTCCTCGACGGACCCTTCCGGCAACCAACCATTCGCTGGTTTCGTGCAGATTCACCTCCCTTCGGAGCATCCGATCACTTTGGAGGTACCTAGGTACCTATAGGAGTGTAGGTGTTCGAACTGGGCTTGTTGGTAAACGCGACATTGGAATGAATCTCTCTCTATCTCCTAGTTGATCTTATTGATCTTATTATAACTATGATCCTGAACTTCTACCTCCTCCCGAGCTGAACATATTTCTTTCTCTAGAAGGTCTCCTTCTAGATATATAGGTCAACCAGGCATAGACACATTTTTAGTTTTTGCAACCTTTCCTCTCAACACCCTTGACAGGCAGTGTGGATCGTGGCAAATCAGTGGATCCAAAGCGGACCTGTGCAGCTCGGGTTTTGGACCCTCACAACTAGGGTTTTGGATGCTTTTGGCACGTTTTGGACCTCAAACAGGTGGCAGTTCTCTGGGCGATAACCAGTGACCATCCCTTCACAGGATCCAAAAAGAAGGAAACAAACAAACAAGATCTCAAGCGCGCGGCCACCTGAAACCGCCGTTCCGCACTGCTCCGAAGCCGTTCGGTGCCTTCTTCTCAACTGAACCAAGTTCTTCACAGGAGTGGCTCTCCGCATGACCTGAATCAGCTGGGTCCATCAGATCGATCGAGAGCAGCGAGCGTGTGTTGTTCCCTGGACCCCTCGGTGAACCGGGATGAACACAGGGACAAAGGCTGGTGAATGGTTGCAAGTCAAACAGTCAACCACATGACCCTCAGTCCAACGTTGTCCAACTAGAATACTGAAAACGACTAAGTACAGAAATTAGTAGATTCCATGCATCACCAGTGAATTTGGCGGATGAACAACCGTCGCCTTTGACTCGAACCAAAGCGAACCCAGAGCCCGCCCTGTCAAACGGGTCGCCTCGGTGAAGTCTGTGCGGTCCAAGGGCTCCTGCGGTGAAGCGGACGACCGCGTCGACGCTCGGTTCGACCGGATTGGGTGATTGAAACCCCAGACCTCTCCACATGAGCAGACCAGGGTCGGCGTCAGCAGTCCATTGAAGAGATCAAAAAGATTCCCAAATGGTGATGCATGTATCCTCGGTCAAGGGGGAGTGAACAACAAGTGACACCAAAAGCAATATACCAGCACCCTCCAACAGGTCACCACCTGCGACTTTTAAGTCTCCAAAAGCCACCAGAGGAGACCTGTTGGAAGGTGCTGGTACTTATTGTGTATTTACTTGTTTGGAGACCCCCTTTCTCGCCCCTGGCTGGGCGACAGACTGGTCGACTGGTCGACAGCTCCTGCTCTTCGATCCCCACAGGGGTCGCGTTCCGCCGAGGTCGACGTCAGGTCTTGAGCTACACATATCATCCGAAGACCAAGAAGAGACACTCCTCGAAATCCTCATGGTTTCGTGGAATTCCAACCCCTAACATCATCCGAACGGATGGACACTGGTGAACGCCATCCCCTCAACCGTTAGGCCGATATCCATGGTTCTTTCAGGGAGTGTAATCCAAAGTTATCAAGAGCAATCAAGAACGTACCTGGACCCGACTTCAAGTACCTTAGAAAATGGGACATGACCCCTAAAAAAACAGGTACGACTGCATTTTCTGAGGTACGAACTGAGACTCCAGGTATATACACATGTATATCTTATCCTTTTAAGGCTTGGTCGGGGAGTGAAGGGCGGTGGTGTCACCCTATCGCAGTCTCCCCCCTGAAGTGCGCCTCGGCCGAAAACGTTTTTTTTGTTTTTTGCCTGGAACCTATAATTATCAAACTGTGATTATGAATTGAAGAGCAATACAAACCATTATATTGGCAATAATGCAACAATTTTTGTTTGTGTCTATCAAAGCAGTGGCAGCATCCACAATCAAGGGTCCACGCGAAAAGGCTCCTTTTCTATTCGAGTCAGTGTTGTTTAGCTTGGGTGTATCCCATTACCACTCCCGTTACATCCCATGAATCACCAGCAACAGTGGGTGATGATGGTTAGGTTGCAGGCCTTTCTCTAAAATATATCATCGTGATGTTCTTGTGAAACCCGACTGCTACAGGTAAAACCTGGGACAGATGTAACACGTTGAGCCTTCAGGTGCACAAACGTGGCAGCAAACTGCTCAGTGGAATAGCTGGAAACAGCGAGAGAGTGATCCAGGCCGAACGGTCCAGGCGGCCAGTGACTTGACACTGCGGATCTGCTTAGCTCGGCTTCCTGCCCGGAAGCAAAGGCCATGATTTTGGGACCTGCATACAGCAGCCCTGGAAAGAACTCACTATACAAATAGCCTGGAAATGGCTGGAAGTTCATTCAAGAAAAAGATTCCAGGACCCGCCCCTGTCTGGCAGTCTATTTCTATTTCCCCTGAACAGGGGTGTCCCAAAAGACACCCAACTCCGTGCAAGCACTCCTCGTGTTCTGCTTTCGCCTTGAGGTTGACTCCTCGGCAAGTAGCATCAGTTGCAAAACATTTGCGTTGAGTTGAGCCATCCCCTGCATCCAGGGACTGTTTGTTTGTGACAAGAAACACAAACCAAAATTAGGTGCCAATAATTCGAGGCTTTGGCAAGTACAAGTTCTATAGTTGTACATAGTCAAACACGCAAATGACATTCCAAATCTCAAAGTACAAGAACTACAGCCTGGGCGTTGTACAAGAATCAAACATTGGTGAATGACCTCAGACTAGGCCGATCGGAAAAACGGGTGGAAGGTCCAAGGGTCGATCCCCTCCCCATCAGGTTTCCGGGCCACTGATGCTCGCGCGCCTGGAAGCAAATGGAGAATGAAGAAGCAAAAGGGCTGGCTGTTTCACAAGCCTATTTTAGCATATTATGCGGTGCTGTCAAAATCCATTGTTTAGCACTGGAATCAACTGCACCCTGCTAAAGTGGGCTTTGGACCGTGGCTCATAGATGACAACCTTGGATTTGATTGAACCGGGAAGACTACGAGATTGAATAGACCCATCTTCCTTGCAAAGCTCGTGGGCCCTTATTTCCATCCGGGAGTCCATCCCACCCAGAGGCAACCCACCCCAACCCTTCGGTCCAAAACCGTTCCAAAACCGGGTCAAAACCCAGAAACTGCGCGAGTTCGGAGTCCAGACTCTGATCCATCTGGACTCGGATTGAGTCCAGAAGAAGATGGATCCGTGTTTTGCAGCGGTGGATCCGATTCACCGGTTTGGTGCACCTGGGGCAACTGCAAATCCCCAGATCCCCGACCAATGAGACTGACCGGAAAGGACTTAACAGAAGGGTTTTGCAGAAGGGTCTGCGCGGGGCGGAAGGAACATGTTCACTTGAGTTACTTTCATGATGATTTCAGGGAGTGCAAGCAATCCCATGTTGGTCTGTGCTGGAAAAGCATGGACCACCTGTCAGACAAGGGGCCCCGCATGTACGCCACTGATACATGACTAAACGAACATGGACATGGACCAACCTTAAGACCCTTTCCTCTATCATCCTCTACTATCTAGTCATGAGGCTCATTGAGGACCTAATTTCCATGATGTTGATGACCGGAAGCATAGCCAAGTTGGTCCCAAAACCGGCACCCCCAAAGAGATCAGAAGACGATTCGGTGCAGCAACGATCACCACAGCCTCTTCTTCTGCGGTCGCGTGCGCTTCATGAGGTCATACCTCAGTGCAGCGACGCGCGTGACTTCACGCCGAGTCGGGAGTGCGTGTGGCGATACCATCACCCAGACACTCCATGTATGCCATATATGCCGATCAGTTGGGGTGGTTTGAGGGGTCAATGTAGGCATATACTCCATACATGGAGTGTATGGGTCATGAGCATGCTGTAAACATTTGAATTTACTAAATACCCAGACGCTCCGTGAAAACAGCCCGACTGGTCCCTCAAAACAGCCCGACTGGCCCTTGTCCATATGAGGGTCCAGCGTCTGGGTATAAGTGGTTGCTCATAGCATGTGTATCACCAGGAAATCTGCCGCCACTCAAGTCTGGGTCACGGGTCCCCATCTCACGCCGTTTAGGCCGTCCCAATTTCTGGTTCAGGCGGCAAATGGAAGCCGCCAAGCCGACATTCCCACTCACATCCTCTTAACTTGTTTCGCAGTCACAGAACGGGTCACGTCCAGCCGACCGTCAAGCCGACTTTCGTCGGGTTCGCATGCCGCGTGCTTGCCCGCCGGCGCGGTCGAACGAACGAGGACGGATCTCCCTGCAGGGGATCCCCGGCATCTCACCGGCTTCGACGTCGCTAAAGCCCAACCTCGGCTGCTCCCCCGCGTGATGTTCCGCCGTTTTCTCGGGACGCGAGCCAAAAGCGATGCGATCATCCGCTGGGGGAGAAGACGCATGTTAACATATTCATCAAAAGAATGGGACTATGATGGACGATGCACCTAACATCTCACAAGTTGTCTCTGCGACGACTATATGATGCACTTTCTACTTGGATCAAACCAATCACATAATTGGAGCCAACCAAATGGGTTCAGTCAATATGAGAAAAGGCCAAGTCACCGATTGCTTCCAGGATTCCATTCCTTTAGCCCTAAATCCGAGCCGTCAAACACGGCTATGGGACTATGGAGAGTCCAAAGCCTGCCATGGAGGGCCGTGCAAATGATTGGTACAACGTTTGGGGACTTTTTGACAAGTACCCTGCAGAACTGCACGCATCTGCAAACCATGTCCACAACGATCATGATATCAAAGGAGCAGGAGGATACAGCCAGCAGCCTTTAGCCGGTTCACCATGCCCGACTTCCCAACCATTTAGGGAAGACTATATACTGCTATTACGGTATCCATCAGAGCTTGGTCAGCAATCTAGGCAAAGACATTTGAGAAACTGGTCTGAATGGCCGTTGAGCAGAACAAAAAACAGCATGCAAATCAATCGATTGCCCCTACGTGATCGCCCTAGCCGCTTGGCCTGGTCGAAATAACGAGCGAAACGAGTGCTCCGCTGTCCGACTCAGATGAGAGCCCGGACACGCCAGCCAGCTGTGCAAAGACGTCGGCCGTCATGCCAGTCAGAGCCGGCACCCACCTGTCATTCCACGTCACATTCCGCGTCTTCATCATGGGCCGGACGGCATCGCCCCTTTCGTTCGGAGGACCATGACATCAAATGAAATCCGAATACCAAACAGGTGGTGAACTCCACTTTCATGACTCTTGCAGGGAGTGTCTATGATTCTTGTTGTTGGAAGGGCCAAGAATCTTCCTCACTGTGCCGGGCTTGCGAAGACAAGCAAACAGAAGCAACAGCATACAACATATATAGTCAATGAAAAACAACACTCTATTAGCACAGAAAAAGATCGACATCACCAACTGAAGCCAACTCTTCTCATTTCGACCTTCACTTCTTCCTCGCCTTCCGGACCTTCGGACCTCTTTCAGGCTCTCACTCGGACGCCTCTTCTCGACCGGTGCCCCAACTCCGACCATCCGCCGCGCGGCCTGATGTAGGCCTTCTCCACTCCACCGAAGCGCTGGAGCAACTTCGCCCGAAAGGAGCGGAGCTTCGACCTGAGCGACGACGACCGGTCGACCGAAGGAACGAACGAACGAACGAAGGGGGGGTCACAGGACGGATGAGGAGATGGGGCCAGGGGGCAGGGGCTGAAGAAAAGGATCAGTTCAGTTCCAAGGAGTTGGGTGGATGGATGCGACGTCGCATCCATGTCATGTAAGGAGACCATTCCGACATCAAACTGCTGGTAAAAGAGATCGCCTGCCGAGCATAGATCAACATGGATGGCCAAACAGTAGAAGAAGACAACAGTCGGAGTGAATCCTGCGAGTGGGAAAAATTGCCCAAGACAACCCGAGACTATGGAGAGATGACTTTGGTTGTAATTGGATTCCAGTTGGTATAGGCTGCCGAATCAGCAGAAAAAATACTATCTTGAATCCCCCACGTGGTCTATCCCCCATAATAGGCTAGGGGAGCGCATCTTTGGATGTAGCCGGCTTTGGTATAGCCTTGCTTCCGTCTGAAACTCTGGTACTTGAGAAGAAAGGAAAGCACTGCTTTGCTGCTGGTGCTCCTCAGTGCTCTTATGGTTCTTGAAGAATATCGATCCGGAAGATCCACGTCCATCTCTTCTATTAGTTTACTATCAGTTACTATCAGTTCTCTTCTTCATTGTGCTGATTCTATCAGTTTCCAGTGCCAAACCTTTTTCCACCTGTTCACCACTCTTGCCGTCTGTCTTCCTCGGATAGGATAGTGCAAGGTGGCCCAAAGAAAAGACATCACTGGCCCGCCCTATTCTTGTTGAGTGGAGAAACGAACTCTTTAAAGAAGGTTTTGCAGGGAGGTGCTGCACTTTTCCTGGGTAGGTTTACACCAAGTACTCCCAAAAAGAAATCACCATTTATTCAAATAGCCTGGATCCCGAACAACCATTGTTTTACTATTTACTATAAGGGCTATTTCACCACAAAACCAGATCAACCCTTTTACAGCCCAAATTTGGATCCCAATTGGCTTCCGCGAAGACGGGCGACGTTTTTGGGGGGATGTTCCACGCGTTCCTCCTGGCCCGTGAAACACTCCTGTTCTTTGAGACAAGAAGAGTATTTGGGGTGGGACATGGAAGGATGTGGGTAGTCCAAAGTGGTCCAAAAGAGAGGTCACTCAGCTTCCTCTGGACCCAAGAAGAACCTTCCCCAAAAAATGTCGACGGTTCGGTCTTGCGCTGGATGGCCATCTCAAGACATCGTCGGTGGTGACCGACCTGGGGTTCTGACCATGTTTTTGGTATGACTCGTCTGGCAACGACTAAGCACAACATGTGCACCGAAACACAAACAGGATGGTCTAATGGATTAGTGTTGAACAAACTTGAGTATTTGGTGGAGAGACCTTCAGTTTCATCACAAACTGGAGAGTTACCGTGTGTCTGGCATATGTTTCACGTCTTTGGAAACGGCGCTAAGACATGAGGCCTTGACTGTTTGGGGAAGCGCGAACAGGCGCTGGCCGACCCAGTCCCTGTCCTACATGAAGCAGCTAAAAAGGGGTCACCCCTCCTGCAAAACACTCCTTTTCAATGATGTCCGACCTTGGGAATAACGGGGTGCATAGTACACTTGGGAGTCTCCTCTCTATTAATCAACCAACCGTCCGGCCGCACGACCTCGGACGCTCGGACGCTCGGCTGTTCCGGATCGTCCTGGCGCCACAGGTCTTCGCGCGGCGCGTTGCTACGCCAAGAGGCACGGCTCGATGCTCGGGTGTGCTTACAGTCCAAATGCCCAAGTCCTACCAGGCGCAGGGCGCCCGGCGGAATGGGACGTCTGAGACCGACGAGGTTCACCCGAGCTTGACTGGGTACGCACGTGTGTCAAACAAAGGAGAAACGTGTCCAAGTAGCAAGTAGTAACGTGGATCCGATAATATGATCCAATCAAATTGGGCTGATTGGGTCACCTGAATCTAGACATGATTCTTGCGGGCAATACATTTTTGATGGTAAACCAATCCAAGATAATCCAACTACTGACTGTGGGCAACCATGAGTCTTGTCCACCTTGCTACTTGAGACTTGCAACTTGTTAAGCCCCGCAGACCGACAAATTACAAACCAAACAGAAACTATTTTAAATGCCACAAAAGCAAACATGCACGGTTTGGACAAAGTATATCAATGCCCGTTGGGTTTACAAATGCAAAGAGAGGCTTTTAATACACACGTCACATGCTCCAAATCAGGCTCTCTACCCTTTGGCTCGTGAGAGAAAACATGTGGCGAAAAGCAACTCAGCTTTTAAACTAAGGCCTTTGCGGATGTGGTCGTTTGCTATCAGCACACTATGTATACACAGTCTTTTGAATAGCTGCTTACTCTAAAACGTCCAACTTAGTGGGCAATTCCCAGTTTGTATACTGAGAAAAGTTTTTCCAGGAAACATGTCCATCCACTTCCATGATTGTTGAAGGGAGGACAACGAATGAGCAGAAATTGGTAGTCTGTAAATGTGGGCGTTCGACTGTGCAACTGTTGTCCCTCTTGCATTCATAGAGGAAGGGTCTCTGACAACCATCTGGGCATAGTAAGCGAGATGACACCAAGGTGTCCGTGACCCGTGTATGTCCGTGCACAAAAAAAGATCACCTTGGGTTCAGGGTTCCTCAAGCCCTCAAGCCCTGTACGGCAAAGAGAATGCAGAGTCGTGAGTCAAAAGGAAACTAAAACCAACGCAAACAAACATTGAAAATATCAAGTGACAAGAGTGCCATTGGGTAGATCAATATGGCAAGGAACATGTTGGGAAAAAATTACGGCAAAGGGTCAACATAGAAAAATAACACCAAAACATCAAACGTGGGGCATGGCCGCATGGCTGTGTACATCTGTGTACTATATTGGTCTTGTTCAGCACATTCCAACAAGTTGAAGGACGATGAGAACCACACATAACAATAACATCAATGGTTTGAACACACATCCGCTTTCAATTGCATGTGCCATCCAGGAACTCAAAGGTTGTTATGTTTTTCTCCCCCCAAACAGTTTCACGAAGGAATTTGGTGTCCACAGATTGGAAGTATTCCAAAATCCAAATCACTGGAAGATACTGGAACAAAGCTAGTTTTCAGACCAACCAAGCTAGGCCTTTTCTAAGGCCGGCCATGAGACTCTTCGCTCTCGAAGGGATGAACAAGAATGGTCTCATCTCCTCCGCGTTGCGCGCGCGCGCGCGCGCGGGCCTGAGTGTGTACGCATTTCGGTCCGAAAGGCGTCCACCAAAGGGGTGTATGGGTCAGGTAGATTCCCGTGACCGGTACATAACAGTGGATGATGGGAGTGGTGTCCTTCATGACTGGACGCTCTCCCTGATTTTAGGGCTCCAGTCGTGCCTCCTCAGGTTCGGTATGACTGGACCCGAACCTGGCACCCACTCCAGTCCCACCTTCGAAACGAAGGTGCGACTGGAGCCCTAAGGGCTTAACTGAAACCACGAATGTTGACTTGCTCGGATCCGGTGGGTCCTCGTTGGAGGCATGTGAGGTCCTTCGCTCGCGCCTGGCACCGCGGAAGGAGAAAACAAAGAGAGGCCCTCCCTCCAAGTGCTCATGGAAGTGGAGTTCACTCCACTCGCTGTTTGTAGAGGAACATGTCGTCTTCCCCCGTGTTTTTGTCCTATCCACTCATGCAAAAAAATGATTACCTCGGGGAGTGTAGACTGATCTGCAGCCCATCTGATGATTCACTTCCTCTATATTGAGTGTGAAATAGGGCATAGTCTCACCTTCTGCCAATCTGCTGTGCACAGCCCACCCGGTCACCCGGTCACCCCGGTTGTCTTAGGGAGACCCCTTAGTGTCTTAGGGAGTGTTGCAGGACGATGGCACCCGTCTTTTGGATCGAAATTTGGAAGAAGTTGCACCCGACTCGTTGCTTTCTTTGTGCTTTTAGATACCAGCACCCGACTCTACAGGTCTCCGAAATTTTGAGGGTTCGGAGAGGCCCTAAGAGGTCGAACCATTGGTGACCTGGCAGGTCTCGGGTGCTGGTATATATATACTATAACGCCATAGATACAGGGGAAATGCCAACACATGTCATAGTGGTGTTCATGACTCCTACGTTATCTAAATCCAAGAGCAATACTCTTACGGATACCTATCTAAGGGGTACGGTACGTAGGGACGTAGCGTCGGGGCATGCACCGGCACAGGGAGGAGCACGCACCGGTGCAGGGAGGAGCGTGCTCGGTGCAAGGAAGAGTATTAAGGAGGAGCGCACCCAACATGCAGGGTGCGTGCATTAGGAGGGGGTTGGTGTGTGGAGAAGGCATGTTCTGACCATGTTCATCAGCAAGCTCAAAGTTATTTTTCCTCCAACCGTGTCTGCATCGGTCACTTGTCTGTGCAGTGAAACAAATTCAAATTCAATGATCTAAAGATCAAGAGGCCGTCAAATCGCATTGCCAAGCAAATTGGAAAGGTCTTCCAATTCGTCCTGCTCCACATTTGGGTTTTCAATCCTGGCAGCAGTTGCAACCAGAGCTAAGACGCATGCAAGGATGCAAGTCCCGCTCATAGCATTTCCTGCCAAATCGCCCAACAAGGATTCAGAAACAGAATCCACATAGTCATATTGCGACCAAGGAAAACCTTGCAACGAAAGACATTCACGGCCAATCATCATTCGACGATTGGTCGTCAACCAAAACGATCCCCCGGGCGTCAGCGTGTTCGTGAGAAGTTGGTTTGAAACCGCCCCTCTGGAAACATTCTGGCTTGTGTCAATCAACCGGTTCCTGATAACATGGTCCAAGTCTGGGTCTCCATCTTTCTTCGACTGGATGTGGGCCCGCAAGCTTAAGATCTCTTGCTCTCGAGGGGAAATAACCTGAATCCAGAATCCAGTGTTTCGTAACCGGACTCTATTTTAACGTTTATAGATTGACATAAAGATTTGATATAAATAAATATATTATATATATACAAATAGAGATAGATAGATAGATAGATAGATAAACGTTACCTTTGTGTTTGTTTTTGATTGATTCACAGTGGCTGTTGTGTGATGTTGTTTAAAATGATGTTGAAGCCGCATCCCCGCCTTGTACCATTCAGACTTTGCCATATCAGGCGGAGGTGCTGGTGGCCACGAAATACCAAGTCTCTCGCAAAGGTCCATATGGTCCATAACCCATTTTCCAGCTTTACCACGCGCCTTGCGAACTCCATCATCACCCGTTTCCTTGTCCGCCTTCTCCCCTTGCAAGCGTTCAAGCTCTGCAATCACATGTGGGCTGTCATCTGGCTCCAAAAGATCTCGGATATCCAATGGATCATTGTTACTAGAGCAAACTTGAAGATTTCCCTCAAGCGTTTGCACAAATTGTTGCATGTCACATCCCTTCTCTTCCAGGAAATTGGACTTCACCAGGAAGATGTAGAGTCGCTCGCGATTCTGTGGAAGAAAGAAATCAGCCGTCCTCAACTTTGTAACGTGTGCCTCCCAGCCAGCCTCCTTGAGCAATTGCAAGATCTCTGAGAGATTGTCTGACTGTTTGCCTTCAACGTCACCCAACGATGTCACATTCTCAAGTATTCCATACCTGGCGCTGCACAAGTTGAGGGTTTCCATAAAGCCCATGAATGTAACGACAGTTTGGACATCTTTGCGACGCTCGGCCACAGCTGTTTGCAATTCCTTCCACCTCATATTCAACTTAGATGCTCCGGTGCAAGAGGTGCCAGCAATGAGAAGATCAGCTTGTGGCACTGCACAGGCTGAGTCGTGGCGGGCACATTTCCTCTTTCCTGTGCTCATTTGGGTCACGTCCGTAAACAAGCATGCATTGTTGGCGCGGAACACCGTGTTCAAAATGAAGTTCCGCTTGTTCTTTTTGGCCTCACACCTCAGGAAATGCATGTACCGCTGGGAAAAAGAAACACAAGGAAACCCCCCAAAAAAAACACAAGGAAACAAAAAGACGCAGATTTACAAGCGCCGCCCAGAAGCCCAAAGACAACTTCTGCCCAAGCTGGAGCGCAGCACTTCTCACCCAAAGTATCGAGGACGATCTCACAAGCTAGATCTGACATCCCAGACCCAGTGCAAACACTGGCAACCTTCAAGGGCCAATGAGACCATCTGTTCACATCGCTGGAGATCTCTGGGTCCGATTCAAGCAGCTGTTCCTGACACATGAACCATGCGTGGCAGCCGTGGCAGTTGTGGAAAAACATCACACAAACAATCCCCGACAAAAGGAACTTACAGTCAGAATTCATCAGAGAATCAATCATATGGGAAGCGCATTCTGGCAAAATCTTTGCGACGTCTATTTTCTGGCTGAAGTCTTCCCGAAGCAGCTCCTGGAATGATTGTTTCCCACAATCAATCAATCCGTCACTCTCGCCAAAGACCTGTGACTCTTGAGGCTGCTCAGGCGGTTCAACTTCTGAATCTTGTTGACAATCACTATCACTACATTCTTTTTCTACACTTGGCTCAGGCGGTTCAACTTCTGGATCTTGTTGACATTCTTCTTCTACACTTGGCTCAGGCGGTTCAACTTCTGGATCTTGTTGACATTCTTTTTCTACACTTGGCTCAGGCGGTTCAACTTCTGGATCTTGTTGACATTCACCAGCTTCTTCTTCTACTCCTGGTTATTTCAAACATTAGAGAAAAGCCAAGGAGTCTGTATGGGATAGATTATAGATGGTTTTGTTTGGCTCTATATAGCCTAGCTGTCTGAGTCATGAGGGTTCTTTTTGCCAACCAGGCCTTCCTCAGCCATCTCATCCATAATATGTTCAACAACTGCGGTCAGTGTTGATTGATTGCCCTGTGACTCATCGTTCACCTCAATGACTGATGGAGCGGGGAGAGGTGCTGCGGGAGTAGGTGCAACAGCTGCTGCGGGAGTAGGTGCAACAGCTTTGGCTTTAACTGCTGCCTTGCGGACTTTGGAGGCAATGGGCTCACAAGAGGCAGCAGGCCTCTTGAGGGTCCGCCTTGCCTTTGGAGCCATGCACCTAACAGACACGGCAATCTAGGATTCGGGATTCCTGACTGGTGCCTGAGCAGGGACCCGTTGCAGAAAAAAAATCAGAACAAGCTTTCAACACTGTGTGGTACTGCCTGTACAGCTGCATGTTTGCGGAGGCAGGCATGCAGAGCGGGCTTTTTTGAGGCTTGCCAAATTGGTTTGTGCGGGATGCTGCAGCTCAAATCGATTCCACATGCGTTTGCGTGTGGACCACATGACAGAGCTTTCCCTTCCCCTGAGACTTTGACACAGCCACTTCCTCTTCAAATCCAAGTCTAAGAACACTAAGCATGCGACATGGGCGCAGTCCCTGTGCAGATTTCTGCGCAGTTGAATTAAGGAACGTGAAAAAGGGGGCGACACCTCCAGGAAAAGAAGTTAAAGAAACCAGCTGCTATGACATTTTCCTATCACTGGATCCTGGATCACCCTAGCCTAAAACAATGGAACGATGTTTTGCACACCGTGAAAATCTGGTCAGTAGGCCATGACCGAGCTCTCACTTGGCCAAGAAGTCCGCTGCCTGTTTATGAAGATCCTTGTTCACCTCAAGCTTGTGCTTTGTGATTGCTTCCACTGGAACCTTGATGATTCCCTTCATCTTGGTGACAGATGGGTTGTTGGAGGGAAACTTGGCCACAGCTTGAAACGAAGCCGAGTTCAAAGTCTTAGCCAGGAGGGATGTCACAAAAGTTGTCCGGGATGACTTCAGAAGTGTCTCACCTGCTTCGAACTTGTCTTTGAGCTGGCTTGGATCCAATCCAGCAGCATCTCGAATGTGAACACACCTCTCCATCGCATTTGCTAGAGCCTCCACTGCAAGCCCAAAAGTTTTGCTGTCAGCGAGCTTGGTGTACTCCTGTGAAGTTTCCTCTTGATAAGGTGTCTTGGGCACCTCAATCTTGGTCAAGCCCTCCACGCAGCCATCCAAGTACTGGACCATATTCTTTTTGAGGTGCTCCGCCTGAGTGTACAGAAAGCAGCAAGCGTATCACAAAGCGCAAACCATGCCATGTTCCTCCACTCCAATCTATTTTCATTGCTTTTCAAGGGCTTCTATGGGTACCCACAACCATAGACTAACCCATGCCCATGTCTAAACATAGCAACAGTTCAGATAAGCTCAATGATTTGATGCAAGAAACATAGCGCGATCCCAGGCCATCAAGGTTCGTCCAAAGCTCTTCTATCAGCGCGGTGTCGCGGTCAATCTCTCCAGAAGAGGCTTTGTCATCTTTGAAGACAGCATCCCACAACAGCTTCGCAGTGATCTTTTCTGAAGTCTCGACCATGACCATTTTCTTGATAGCAGCTAAGCCTTTGTTCACCTTTATGCTGGTACCAGACGAAGGCATCCAGTTGAGCACCTCACTCGAGACAACCTTGATCGCCAAGATTGATCTGTCCACCATATTTCGCGCCAGTTTCACAAAGGTCTTCTCAGCGTCTCCACCATCCTGGGCCGTAAGGAGCTCCAAAGATTGAATCATCTCATCACACCCCTTGAAAT